AGTGTCGTGTGCCAGTTTGAAAAGGTCCTCACGGATTGAACCCATGCGAGGCACCAATAGTCGTCACCGATATACCAGAGACCATTGACTTCTTTTACATTTGGGAGAATTGTCTCACCTGACACGAACTTTGTGCAGAATTCATCTACCTGGTAACCTGCTTTGATGGCTGTCAAAATCGATACGTCTGTTGAAATCGAAAGAATCGTATTTATGATGTTCTTCGAGAGCCATTCTTTCCATGAGGAAATCTCTTCGGGATCTTCATCTGTCACCAGGGTGTCATCCACTGGAAGGCAGAAAGAGCATCTGCAACACAATTATCTTCTCCCTTGATGTAGCTGATCATCATCTCGTACTGTGACATTACTTCAAGCCAGCATGCCTGTCGACATGAAAGGTCTTTCTGTGTGTCAAAATTCTCCAAGGTATGATGGTCTGTAAACACATTGACGTGTGAGCCTAGAAGATCTGATCTCCATTTCTTCAGGGCACGGATTATTGCTAGAAGTTCTTTTTCATGCACTGGATAATTTAGCTGTGCACCGGTGAGCTGCATGGAATCATATGCAACTGGTTTGGCTGTTTCCCATGTGGGTCCCCATGAGAGGACCGCACCAGTACAGAAGTCGCTCACATCACAGGTAATAAAAATCTTGTTCTTGCCAGGATTTACATGGTCAATCACTGTCAAGCATGCACTTTTGGAGACGAGGTTCTTGATTGCATCAAAGGCTTCCTGGTGTTTGTCATTCCAGGCTGGAAAGTTCTTCTCTGCCTGGTCTGTTGTGAGCGGAGAAAGTATGCGAGTATATTCAGCAAGGTTCTGGAGGTGTGCCAGAGGTACTGAGTCAGACCTAGGAATTGACGTACATGAGAGGCCATTTTAGGTTGCGGCCACTCCTTGATATGCTGAACCTTTGATTCATCAACCTCGATACCTCGCCACGAAATACGGTGGCCCAAGAACTCCAGTTCCAGAAGAAAAAACTGAGACTTCTTAGGGTTGCAATAAAGTGCATCTGCATGTAAGGCATCAAGTACCTGGCATACATGGAGCATGTGTTCTTCAATGGAATTAGACCAGATTATGATGTTGTCAAGGTAGATATGGCAGATCTTCCCGAGTAGATGGCGAAGCGCATGGTTAACCCTGCACTGATGTATTGCCGGCGCATTCTTTATGCCTTGAGGCATCACCAGCCATTCATATAATCCGAAAGGTGTCTGCACTGCAGTGTACGGGATGCTATCAGGGTGCATACGAGTGTGGAAAAAACTGTCTGTCATGTCTAATTTGCTCCAGATTTTACCGTGGCCAGCATCAGCAAGAATGTCATCAATCCGAGGCAAGGGGTATTTATCAGACACCATGTTTGCATTTAACTGGCGGAAATCATTAACCCATCGAGGGAGCACAGTCTTGTCAGATTTCGGGATCAAAAAGGCCGGAGAGGAATATTGCGAGGAAGATGGGCGAATACGACCTGCATTGATGTTCTTCTGGATAAGTGTCTGCCATGCTTCACGGAACTTACGTGGGCAGGAGTATGAACGTGACATGATTACTTTCTCTGCATTCTTCAATTTAATTTTGCATGTCATCTCTGTAGGTAATGTATCCGCATGGGGGATAGGCGCAAAAACATCTGCATAAGTTTCTTTTATTTCATCATTGAGCTTCTTCAGGTGGTCAAGGAAGGCAAGGCGTTCAATATTGGTATGTAGTGCAGCTACTACATCAGAGTTACAAAGATTATTATAAGCATGATCGGTTTGTACAGCGAAGGCAGTTTCATCAGAGGGCAAGGAAAAGAAAGGAAGTTCATGGGAATCTACATGATTATGAAGCATATTTTGTTTGCATAATGCTGCCAAGGGCACAGGTTTGGTAGCTGATACTGGGGCTGAAGGATTCAGAAGGTCAAAGCCTGAAGGAAGGGAAGTGCAAGTGTGATTACGATGATCCACAACCACATGATTGGCAGAGAGAAAAGGTAGGCCGAGAATGATGTCCATGCAAAGGCCAGGTGCAATAATGGCACGAACAGTATGGGAGGACCAAAAATTCGATTTATCATGGGGTTTTAGTTTGACCCATTCAGTGAGGCGGCAGGCAGGCAAGGATGAATCAGATATTGCAACACCAATGTCTATGGGTTCAGGTAGTGGGTGACGTTTCAAATGCAGGCGGTCGACAATCTCCGGGTGAATAAGCACTAAATGTGCCCCATCATCTACTAAGGCAGTCACATCAGAACGGGGTTCAATATCAGCCGGATTGTGGGAATCAACAGCACAATGCTACAAAAGATGTGGAACAGCAAATGGAACAGGCAGGAAGATTTACTCACAGCTTCAGAGTCTACAGAAAGGTTGGCATCAGCTGTGGTGCCATCAGCATTGTTGGCTTTGAGAACAGACAAGCTGTTGACAGGGACTGCAGCAGCAATGGGCCATGCGGTCGTCCCCAAGATCTGGACTGATGCGACAGGTGCCTGCGAAGGTGCAGCAGGAGCTTGTGCTGGGGCAGGAGCGGTAGCAGTAGGTGCAGTGGAGGTTGAGGCAGAAGCTTGAGTGTTGACTACAGCGATAGTGAATAAAGGTAGTCCTTTGGCCTTGTCCACACATCGACAAATAACCCACTCCACCATGTGGCGTTCATATCCAGCAGCAGGTGGAGCGTGTCCCTTGCATTTGCCAAAACCTTGTTCTTCTCTGGGAATGTCGATATTGTGGCATGCAAAACATCCATCATTGGCAGCAAGAACAGCGCGTTCATCGTCACCAAGTTTACCCTGGTACTTATAGGTGAAGGTGTTGCCATGGAAGAGATGAGTTCGATGAGCTTGTGATGTCCGAAGAAGCAGGTGCAGAGTTGGTACGACGGGGAGGGTGGTTGCTATGGAAACCAGAGGATGTAGATGTGGTCGTCGTCCTTGTGGTGGCCGGCTGCGCTGCTGCTGCTGCTTCAAGATGTTGGCATTGGCAGACTCCAGCATCTCTACTACATCTGCGATTTCTTTGTGCTTCCGGTGTAGTTCATCGTCCTGTACCATAACGAGTTTCATCCATGTATCCAGACTGGTGCATTTGCAGATCTCCTTGATGTTCTGAATGGCATCCTGTAGCGGCTTGGAAGATTTGGCCACGTAAGTTCACAAGGAGTGTGGCGTCATCAATGAATTCCGGATATTCCACCAGGAGGCTGTTTCATCCTCGAAGGTGTTCAATCCAGTCGATAAAGTTGCTACCTTCCGGCATGGACTCCTGCCAGATCTCGTTAGCAAGGTCCTTCGTCCAGGTCGCCGGAAGGAAGTGTCATGAATTCAGCCATGAACTGCTTGAAGGTCAGCTTCACCAGGCGAGCTTTGTGTTGCTTAAACCAAGTGACAGCCGGCAGGTTATCTGCGAGTCCTTCCTACCAGGTTCGCTAGGATGTCTGGTAGGTCATGTCCTTTCTGGAGTTGGCGTCGAATATAATTTTGGCCTACATTGGCATACTGGCTCAGTGTCTCCAGATATGCGCAAGTGACCCCATGTTAGCGTGGGAGGTGCTCATCCACCGCCATAGGTTATTACGTGTGCTGCTTGATCTATAGTGGACATCTTTGAACTGGGGACAGGTGTGGGGTGTTCGGGGCTCGAAGAGTAGTAATCAGAGGAGGAGTCCGATACAATGATGCGTTTGGGTGGGGGTGCAGCTGGTGATCGTTCAGGTATATCTGGAGTGTTTGGGTTTCTGCATAGCTGGAGACTGGGGTGCTGGAGGCATCTTCAGATGGTCTAGCGAGACTGATGAAGGAAGACTGGTCAAGGTGGAGGAGGACGGAAAGGTGGATATTGGCAGGAGAGGAGGATTGACAATGCTGGCAATGGGGCTGGCATGTGGAGTTGTGAAGAGTTCTTCAGCAATACTGTCTTGTATGTCAACAGAAGACTGGCGGGGAGATTGAGGTCTATGAGAACGCGATCTGGGGTTGGGTACGACATGACCTATACTGCAAGATATAGATACGTCAGCAAAAAACAGACTGTTGAGCGAATTTCACTCGACCTGGCAACAGCATGGGTGCAGGCGTCATCTGGTGTTTTTGGGGATGCGTGCTGGCAAAGGCGGGCAAGATGTTTGGTCTAAAGACCTTCGTCCCAGATACAGGCCGGCGAGATTTGACATTCATCATTCATTAAAAAAAAAGTGTAACCTTGCTCTATAGAAGAGCAAGACCACTGAGAGAATCGGACAAGACTAATGAGGAATGGCATATATTGAAAGCAAGAGGAAGGAGAAAACGGGATGTAGTTGACTACGAAGGAGGGGATGGTGGTGGTCAGAAGGTAAGTGAGGGCATATCCCGAACTAGTGCTAAATATGTAAGTACATGACATGAAATATAGTACGATCGAAGGATCTATGACCACAGATCTAGTGAGTAATGTCAACGTGGTAAGCAGCATGCTTACAATAAGGTCAGTATCTGCTAGATCACAGCAAATTTAGGCAGAAATACCTATATTGAGCGAACCCGTATGAGACCCATATTTTTTCTGGATTCCAAATCTCTATATGGTACAGTTACGGTACCCATATGAACTGTCCCGTAATTCCATAAATACAGGTACAGTGCAGATCCCTACAGTTATAACCCCTCCAGGTATAAAAAAACTCAGATCGGAAGAATGCAAGGATCCTGCACTTATTGTGAGAGTCAGGGGGTGCTGAGTAGATCAAGTGATGCATTGAAGACTTTTGCAGGAGCAATTCCTCGAGATGAGAAGATGGAAGAATTGGAAATTTGCCACGTGGTGAATTTGATTGGTTTTATTTGGTAACTCCGGTCTTGCTTCCTTCCCTCACTCAGTGGAGACGTGTGATTCCCTTCTTCCTCAGACTCACGGTAGCTTCAAGTCAGCGAGAAGGAGACCCGACTGAGATGAAAACAACCAGTTATATGCATTACATTGCTATGCATCTGGGGACTTGATAACTGAATTTATTTTTAGATAACCATGCCCAGTGCTTCAAGGCCAGCCAGAACATGAGAAATCCTTCATCAAGGCGATCAACATCAACCATATCTCGTCTCCAAGCTACATATCGACATTCCCTTTTGTGTTCCTTGGCATACCTCACAGGTGCATATTTTCGTGATGAAGATTCGTCTCCTTTGTAGGTGGTATAGGAAGGGACGAAAGGATAGGGCCAATAGTGATGAGGTTGATGCTGCAGTTTAATTGGGTGGGCTTTATGGGTGGCAGTGTGGGAAATGACTACACCAGGTAAGACGCCCCTCCCCCCCCCTGTCCCAGCACACGTCACTGACAGTGAGAACCTAGATGCGCAAATGATTCCACATACTCACAGGACTCCACAACGATTTCAAATTCGACATCTCTCCAACGACTAACCTAATTCCTGTGATGAAGCCGATCTCGAGTACCACATGTGCCACGCCTACCAATCCACCTCCCACTGGCTCTCCTCCTCCTGAGACCACCTTCTCCAGATCCTCCATATCCGCAACTCTCCAAGGCTCCCAGCTCCCACCTATATCTAAGGGAATTCTGGTCAGTCCTCACGGTCTGGGTTATTGGATGCAGGTACCAGTCCGCAGAGTGGTCCCCAAGAAGCGCGTTGTTCACCGGGTTGAAACTCAATGCAGAACGTAAATCTGAAGCGAGCATCTTGGATGGGTATGCATTCATCCATCTAGTGAACGACGGCTAATATTCATGTAGGCTGCAGAGGATTGTGCTCCTGGCTCTGGATGACTTAGGGAACCCTGCATGAAGCCCCTACCTTGACTCCGACCATCCGCCCAGTTACCCTCACAGCCGACGACCTAGCTCTGAGTGACGACCCCTCCAAAATGCTGTCACCAACTGGAAGGCCATTGAACACACCTACCTCAATAGCATAGGCGACATGCAGGTACGGTTCCTGCAACTATTCTAAACCCGCTTATTCATCTGTACTCACAGTACGACCATTGCATGCAGGTCATCCTCACACCATCCACCATCCTCATCGTCCGTATGCACTCCACCCACTCTCGCTATTACACGGGCACACCCGAAGACAGCACCCACGCGATACTGTCTCCGTTCTCATCTGCTTCACAAACAACAACCCTGGGAATCCGAACTCAGCTCCCTCTCCCTCCATTCCTCATCTCCTGACATGGAGCCCTCCGATGCCTGGACCCCCACCATGGTCGAACACGCCGCTATCTTCGCCGGCACACCACCCAAGTCCTCGTTCTCGTCGAACAATTGGGTGGTATTAGATTATAATGAAGATTAGGGTTTGGGAAGGTTGTCTGTTTGAAGATTGGTCAGCTGCTGCACCCTCCGAATAGGGCCATACCTCACCGGCACTGTTCACAATGACTGGTTGTTACTCTGGGATCAAGGATGCCTTGGGGAACGTCCGTTGCCTTCCTGTGCATGCACATATGCTTCTATATAGGCATGCCCGTTCTTCCTGGTCTGAGTTGGCAGAAAGATGCAAGGTGCAAATTGGAGCTTGGGCCATCATTCTACTTGTGCATGGACCTTTGACATGTTATGTGATCAACCAGACTTTCCTTCTGTGCGATGTCGACTATTACTCGCCTCTCCTCAGCCTCTGTCCAATGGATGAAGAAAGGACGAATCATGCACACTGATCCCAATGCACAATGCACCAGCATGTAATCATGCTGGGCCTGTCTACGATCGCATGTCTCTCCCTGTCTTCTCCGTCAGGTGAGTATTTCATTTGAATATGCTCATGGTTACTGAATGCAAACACTCACAGGGATGCACGAACCCGTTCGAGTTTCTGGTCTCTCTGATGACTACCCAGTACACGGTCTATCTGAGATACAAGACTGTATTCACCAACTTGCATGTTTCCGGGAACTGGGACCGCATTCACAAGTGTGTGCTAGACGTACGAGATCGGTCTGGATAGTCTGGGGTATTGCACACATAGATGGGTGCTCGGGGTGGTCCTAATGTGGTGGCATGGTCAGATCGGTTAGCACCCGTCGCTCTGATGGGGACGACTGACCACGCGGGCAATGTAGAGAATGTGGAGGCCCTCATTGTTATCGACATCAACATCAGCGAGACCTTGGAAGACCGGCACATGCGCCTATAGGCCACATACAGGTAAGCGTGCTCTATCTTTTCTAAGCACACTTATTCATCTCCTCCACTCACAGCATGACCACTGCACCCAAGTCACCTTCACTGCAATTGTTGTGTGCGCTATTCGCTCTACCCCAATTACTGCACTACATCGTCCTTGCCCCAACCTCTGCCTCCATGACACTTGGATCCATGGGTCAGTCAGTCCACCTTCCTCCACATACAACAACCCTCTCTCCATCCTCACCTGCTCTGAGAACGGCAGCACTCGAGAACCCCTCATCATTGAACGTGGCCTTCCACCCAGCTCTCATCAGTGAGATGCTATCCTGCCATACTGTCAGACACTTGTAGAACCGCGGCATGAATTGGCCCAAACGATCCTTGTCATGGAGGAATGTAATAGTGACGAAGCACTGGTCGCTAATTGCAGTTGTATTTCCTGCCTGCTCAATTCCGATGCCGCTATCCAAGTCCACGCTAGCTATGAGTGAACAGCATCATGAAGAGCTTGGAAAGTTGGAAGGGTCTGGGTTTTATATACCCTTCGTGGTGTATTGGCTACATTCAGTCCACCTCCAGGGTTCGAATCCCTTCCCGAAGGAGGCATTTCTCGTATTACTGTGTTTTTTTCTTCTTGCACGGAAATATGTGTTGAGTATTACCATGTCGAGTTGATCTCGCTTCTGTTGTACCCTTCCAGTTTCTGGCCTTTGGCTTCTTTCTTTCTTTAGTGAGTCCCTACGTTATTCAAGGTCTCATTCACTCTTTTATCCCAGGTCCATGTAGCTCAATATGTACTCCAGCTTTCTGTGGTTCGACTCCGTGGAGGGGCTATATCCTGAAAAATCACGACTTTTTTTAGGAGGGTGAACAATCTGATTTCGAGGTAGTGAAAGACGAGCAAACGTTTCGGCTCGATTCTGGTGTGTAGGTGAGGTTTGGGAATGGTATCCATGTCAGGACCAATAGTAGATCATTGCCAGAATTAGAGCCATGGGACTAAATACTGCACTCAAGCTTCCAACATGGTCGTTTGTATGACCATTGGTTATCTGTAATGGAAAAGTTTGATTGGGATGTCATGTCGACAAAAAGTTTCATTCAGGGGTGCCGGTCCCTTGGCATCCTACAAAACATACTTGAGACGAAGAGTGATATGTAAACTTGATCGTGATGCAAGTGATAAAAGAGAAGTCAATGATACTCCATTTTTCTGTCGGGATTCGAACCCAAAGCATACTCCGAGTCGTATCCACTGTGCCACGGAGGTGTCCTACAGCTGAATCTTAACAGGCTCCAACTTCAAGGACAACTGGGACAAGCCTACCAAAATTTGGCAGGTATTGATTTGAGTATACCACCAAGCTAGACATGGTGCTTGCCGATGACTTCGAACTCGTGTGGATAGCAGGGAAGAAAAAACAGTGCATAACATCAAAATCCTTATCCTTCGAAAGGGATTCGAACCCCATATGTTAAATGTCATGTACCGAGTGTGTCATGAAGGGCATATGCTCAGCTTTAATCAAATGATTAAGGTGTGATTTGAGCATACCTCGTGATGTCCCAAAGGCTCTTTCCTGGGTGGTTGGTGGTTCTGTCCAAATGAAGCGAGTATGATCTGTGTATTCCCGGTTCCGATTACAGTGCAACAACGTTACCTCCAGATTCGAGTATGATCTTTCCCATTTCCTCGTCAGAATCAAACGTGGGCTTGGTTTGTCGGAGTGAGAATTTGGTGCTTTCGACTTAGGGTTTATGCACTTCCCCATACATTCCACGATGAAGGTGGTGAAGAATGTTCCAAGGCGTCATGAAAACACCACTCACACTGTCGCTTTTGGTCCAGTCAGCACATTACAAAATGCATGGATGGCTTGTTGGCACTAGCTTCAACATGAGATGGACCAGGTAATTTATTGAGTCACAGTCGAAGGAACTAAATTTATTGTGAAATCAATGTTCAAGGGTTGGTGCCGATGCATATAAGGATGCTTGTGAAAAGAATACATGTATCAGATGGCGTAGACATACCCACCATCGGGATCTACAAGCTCAGATACTCGTGGGAGGGTCTAATGTCAAAACATCAAAGCTTAATGCTTGATAACACAGTGGCTCTTCAAACGAAGTAACCGACGTCAGAATCAAGTAGTTGTTGAAATTTGAGCATGGGAGGGAACGAAAATGAGCAACTCGTTTATACCTAGTATGTCGACATGGTGGTAAACGGTAAAGAAAAGAAAACTGCGGGTACGGTACGTAACAGGTTCGGAGCCGGTTGATTCCAATAGCTCGTATAGCCACAGTAATTCCAACAGTAGTCCCCAGCTCTTTCAACTCCACAGTGCAATTCTGTTCATGAGGTATTCTCGATCATGCTCAATGACTGGACAGTGTTAGGTTACTTATGACAAGAAGGTTGGAAGCGTTGCCCATGGATCTGGGTTTGATTGTTCGTGTGGAATCTAAAAAGAATCCTTCGTGATGTAATGGGCCAATGGCAGTGTTATGCCTGCTGTCAGGGTTCGAATTCCTTCCAAAGGACTGAGTTGTCGAAGGCAAACATTTTTGTAGTGCAGCTAACTAATGCACATTGAAGAAATAGAGATTGAGCTTTTGCTTCCGCATCCCCATGCACTGTAGAGGTTATCAGGCTTTTATTATAACCTACATCCTTTCCAGGCAGTATCTTTCTACTGCATCTTCTCCGTGATATGGAAATAAACATAAAATAAACTACCAGCAAAGGCCACAGAAATCCTTCATGGTGTTGAAATTTGTGTCTCAAGTTCTCGTTCCTTCTTTTTATCCCATACTCGAGCAGCTATGATTAAGGAGCTCAACGTGCATCAGAACAGGATGTACAGACCATACTCGTTTCTGTCATACACGCTGTTTCCAGTGAAGATAGGGACATAAGAAAAAGCCTCTGTGATGCACTGTGTGGAAGGTCTGCTGAGGGTTCAAATCCCATTCGAAGGATGTGCGATCACGACCGCAATAACTTTTTATTGCTTATATCACCTGTATCCAAAGTACATCTGTGTCATTTCAGTATCATCATAAATCTACCTATATGAATTTGAGTTCTTTTGATGATACTACTCCGAACTATGAAACTGTAGCTCCAACTTCGATTGATCATGAGCTGATTCATCCAACATCTGCATACCCAGGCCAATATTAGAAAGCGGTATTGTGTTGATAATCTGCATAGTCATTCATACTCAGTTTTTTGATAGGACACAGTCACGCACATACCCTTTCTTCATCGTGAACTTTGAATATTCCATGAGGCAGTGAGCCCGAGCTTGAACCTCCTTGTTTCTCTTTTACATCCCGTGCATTGAACCTAAGTAGTAATCAATTAAATCTACACCACAATATAGTCTACTCACATCACCAGTAAGGAATTAATATACACTGTCAATGATAGTTCAATGTCAGGTAGGTTGAAGGATGATAAGAAAGGACAGAGATGAACATTTTGGTATTATTAATACAAACCCTGCAAAGATCAAGGTATTCAGTGAGGCAAGAAACTGTTACATATGCATCTTCAGATGTGTTGTCCTGAACCTATGCAGATGCTCCACGTACTGTTATGAGAATTATCAACGAACATGCACTATATTTGTCTTAGTAAATGATCATCAAAAGAGAAATCAGAGCTCACGTATGTTGTTGCGAGTCCAGAAATGAGGATAAACCGAATGATAACAACGAGTTTCGCCGTGGTGCTAAATTTAAATGCTCTCATAAGAAATTGACCCCAGAGGGAATATTAGGACATGCCTGGAAAACGTCATAGTTGCCCTGCTTTTCAGCAGGTAATAGCACATAGCAAGGGTAATGATTATGTCGAGTGTGGCAGCAGTAGCTAGAGCGCCGTCAATTGTTCGCTATGTGAATCTCTTAATATAAGCTACACAGAAACATTCATGAGACATACTTACTTAGATATCATGGAGTTGGGAAAAATCCAAGATCATATAACTATAACCATGCCAGGGAACTGAGCTGATGAGAATGTCTGGATCAAGGATACTCCTTACACGTCATGGCTTAACACTGTGCTGGTCATGTCAGAGACTGTAGGAAGTAAATGGTTCTAATACATATGGGTTGCGGCAGCTGAAAGATCATATGAACTCCAGAGAAGCACAGTTATCAGCTTTGAAGAACATACCACAGCTCCCCAAAATGACGAGTATCTGAAATAACCTTCATATGAGCGGTGAGTCCTTAAGATGAAATAAATAGACATACAATAAACCATGGAACTATACGATGAAAGTGACGTCCAACTACAGTTCACATTAGCAGTGAGACAGTGAGGAAGCTACCAGAGGAAGCAAACCCACGCATCCATAAATGTACAGAATAGATGCTGCAGGGAATCAGCTTCAGTTCTGAGATTCCAGATGGTGCTTGACATACATATGGACGCATACGATAACCAGGTTCTGTGGATAGTCAGCTAGATCCTGTGAAGTAACATCATGACGGACATTGAACAAGATGACCAGCTAATCAAGGAAGGCAGTCAGTCGGTCATCAGAGACATTTCTTTCCATCACACCTTAAGGCTCCTATATTCCCACCATTAGTCAAAGTGATTGTAAGGATGGAATAGAACAATGAGCGCACCAGACTATTTTTAGAAGTCCCAAATAGTTACCGAATGATTCAATTAAGTAGAAGTATAGGGCATGGGTGCCGAGAGCAACATGCAGCATATCAAAGACCCTGGGAAATATATAAACCCCGGAGCTTTCCAAGCGACCTTCGACAGGCATACCAGAGAACTGCAACCTATGATGATTCATTGTGATGTTAGAAATCTTGGTGAGAGGAAATTATGATAAGGGATCCGCACTGAGTAGCGATAAAACCACCAGTCGTCTGAATACCACTTGTAATAGAGAAACATTTGGAGGATCGTTATCCCATATAGACTATGGGTGGTGTCATTAATGGTGAGTCGTCAGTTAAGGTAACAATAGCGTACACCAATGCAACGGTTGATCCCAAATAAACAGCTCCTAACATTGAAGCTAGGGATGGTATTATGACAGAGAAGTTCGAGGTGGACATCACCATGAAGGAAGAACAAGGCCTACATCAGCAGGACAACATCTTTTAAGTACTTCTGGGCAACATCAGGAATCAGAGCAGATGCACAGATGGCCTGGGTGGTTGAATCAATTGTAGGACACAGAGCGGTACCAAATGTGATCTCGGTTCGATGATCAGGTGTGAGAGAGAACTCACATGGGAACAATGGAATCTCTCACAAGCTTCCTTACCGGACCGTAAGCATGAATAACTTTCTTCCATAGGAAGAGAGAATATAACCCTGCTTTAGTCATATCGCAGAGACCATACCTTGTATGAAACAGCACTATCCATCATCAAGACCAGGACACATGATGGAAAAAAACGAGGTTATTTCCAATTCAATTAAATCAATCAATCAATCAAGATTCACACTATTCTGAATTCCGAATTGTCTTTTTCTCATCCTTTAAGGCCTTGGCTTAGATTACAACGCTCTGGTGGATGGCATGCTACACCCATCAGCACCCTTTCTTAGGGTGTAGAACAACAACCACAAGCTATGTACTTGCACTTTGAGCCGACTGGTCATGGCAACCACAGTTTGAAACAGGCGAGGCTGGTGTAGTTCTGTTTCAACTGGGGTCCATCCAGCCCAGATCTATCCCCGTATAATCCCCCTGTTACATCTCATATCTGTCCTCCGCACTGGATGTCGCTGATTCATTCCGTGATCATGCATATAAGAAGCTATGATCCATTGTACAATCCGTGTCCTATTATAATGTGAGTTTCTTCTCACAGCTCCTTGATTCCAAATCGATACCAACTCAGCCTTGTTTAAAGGTACTGTCCACCAACAAGGAGAAGGCAAGGAAATATTACCGCCTGCTGCGCCAAGGTGAAGATACAAAAACAAGAGTAGTCATAAGTGACGGAGGGAAGAAATGAAATGCATGTGCCTTGTAGATTGGATTTATGATTCAACTCGTTACTTCGCTCGAAACACAAGTGTATTATGTGCTATGGTGTATTTTCCGTTGAACGAGGCTGGTTGGAAATCTCGAGGCAGAAGCACGTGCCCTACCTGAAAACGCATAGATTCCTCCTGATTCTATGTACAACTTCTCCCTTGTGGTCGGATGCCGATTCTGTCGCTTATGTTCTTGTATAGAACCTGACTCTTAACTCCTGCAGGTATCCGTGATCTGGTCTCAGTGAGGAAAGATAGCCCAAACATGACAAGGCCTACGCTCCATGATGAATACACCTATTCGGCTACGACAAACAATTCTTACCCCATGCTGTTTCGTTACAGAGATATAGATGTCTGAAAGATATATTCAGTCGATGCACATCCAGTGAGCCTCCTAGATTTAGGTTCCCTCTCTTCATGCCTCATGCACCTTTTAGAGGATATGATGTTCTGACGTTTAATGAGACCAGCATTTTTCTATCTTACTGTCCGAGATGAACCGCAGCCCCATCATTTTTTGAGTAGATGATATCTACTAAGTTGACTTCACAGAGAGTTCCGAGTCCTATGAATATAGGATACTCGGTTATTATCCAGGTGCTAAACCCCATGTGAAAATTCTATTCATGGAATCAATCCATCACAGTGTTTGCCAACTTGCCTCGTTTCCGTGCCCTCTAGACTTTCATGGGAAACTATCTATTCATGGTCGGCATTCTCCATCCTGGCATCTTCCCTCTCGCCACGTCGCTTTGTCGTTCATCTTGTGTTCCTCTTCTACTTCTCTTTTTCTTCTCTACTCCTCTTGATGTGTTTGTTGTGTTATTTTCTTTTCTTTTATACAAAAAAAAATTGTTCGTGATCATTGTTCCAGGTTATCTCGGTCATTGTTGTATTCAGTGTAAGTGTCTAGTATTGGTTTCTCTTATCTTTCTTTGATCTATCAAACAGTTCTCTCTGCGCTACTTTACAGTTCCATCATCATCCTCTTCTCTCTCTCATAATCATCCGATCCGTTTGTCTTTTTGGCCCTCACACCAACATCTTCCTCCTCTTTGAATCCAATCTTCTGCTTCATCCTTTCGTGTGTTCCTTCCTTTCTTCTTGATGTTTAGTTATTGATAGTCGATGCAGTGACACTAGGTGTGTCTTGTCCTTCGACTAGTGCGCTCCTAGACATGACCCATCTCTGATTGCGTGTTCATCGCGTTTCTGTGTTCTGTGGTTGCTTTCTGTACCTTTTTTATTATCCCATGTTGTCCTTATATATTCTGTTACTCACTGTCAAGTTGTCGCAATTGACAAGGGCCAATGGCCCTCAGTATCATCTTCATCCTTGCTGTACCCTTGTTTGTCCTCAAGAACACCATCGAGCATTGCGCTTCCACTATGTCTCCTACTCAGAATATCTGCAACTTCGTCGACACGTATCTGCTTTGTGAGCCATCATCAGTCGCATATCTGGTCCGCACAGGACAAGATAAAAATACAAAGACGACACGAATTCAAAGAATGCTGGCCTCTTTTTCCCTCTTTCATCCATCACTCCTCTGTAGTATTGTACCTCATTGTCTTCGGTGTGAATCCATTTTTGCTGCGCTATCTTGGCAAGTATACCTGCAAGATCAACGTCGTTTGAAAAAGGTATGCCTTCCTCATCGTTTGTGGAGTTGTGCAGTCTAAAGTATCGGTTAGACAACTCTATAACGTCCAATCCTTTCATCGACATTGGCTTCCAGTGTTTGAGCTCTCCGTCTCTGAACTCTCATTCGCCCATGACTTGCATACTTCTGATTGCGTCCATTGCGTCGTCAAAGCCTTTGCTGCTCAGTCCTACCAACTGCACTGACTGACTCAAGAACCCGACCTTCTCCTTCTGTGCCCTAATCCGGCATGCCATCAGCATTATTTGACCTTACATGTCATGGCTCAATCTCACCTCGTCTCCTTTGCCACCAGCAGCAGGTCCATCGCATATATGGCCCCTGTGATAGTGAATACCATTTCTTCCATCGTTCCTTCATCTTCGGACTGCTTGATGATCCTCCATACCCCTGCCTCGTTGTCTCTCTTGATGGATGCTGGCTTAATGAATTCATTGTCCTAGCATACCTGGTTAGTACAGCTCTCATAGCAGTTGATGATGCTTACCTTCAGTACTCTCGATAGGTGCATCCTGTCTTTTTCGACTCTCTCTTGTGTCAGCAATTCTACTATGTTTTCTGGCATGATATATGGTGAGTGACGTCGATTTGTTGACTAATAATCGCTCACTTGTGTCGTCTTTGTTGTAGAATCTGTCCATTTTGTACTATATGCTGCAGAGGAATCGAGAGTTATTCAGAATGTGTTCAGAGTTGGTGGGGTTTGGCATAAGGAGGATGAGGGTATGATGGACGGGTATGTAGCGTTCCTGTTTCCATTTCATCTCTGTATGACTGATATTATTGTCCCATAAGCATTGGAATTCTCTCCCCTCTCTCTATCCCCCTGGCTGCTACCCTCCCTATCGTTGGTGCCTTCCATCGTGGTCCTGCTGGATGTTTCCTTTGCAGTTATGATCTTGCCTCATGCTCTCATGCTTGGTTGGATCTTCAGATGCGGTCATCTTCTCTCTCGCCCTATCCATTGCAACTTGCTGAAAATGAAACACCCTGTCACTGTCTGACTGCCTCGTTCATGACCGTATGACATCCATGGTGTACTTCATGAACAATCCCATTCGTGAATGCTACTGTATTTGCCCCATATACTTATTTTTTTTTTTCATTTTTTTAACATCCTGTGTCTGTATGCGTTGATCATTTTCGTTTCGGGTACATGATATTTATGTGTGACGCATCTTCCTCTTCAAATCTGGACCCGACGCGTCCTCTTTAGCAAAAAAAAAACCCTCTTCTTGCTTCTTTTTCTCCGTTGCTGGTTATCCTCTTCCTCTTTTCTTCATCGCTTGACCTTGTGGGCGTCAATCATTGCTTATCTGACCATGTGCATGTTCCTTCTATGCCTCTGTATCGTGCAGGCATTCAGCTGTTCTAATTGATGTGCATTGTGTTGATTTTCCTCTTCCGCCTTGTGCAATGTCTGCCTTTCTACCGCAGGCTTCTTCTTGGCTCTTATCAGCATCGAGCTCCATACTAATGAGGGTCCCACCCTGTATCAGCTTGTAGGCATAGTATACTTTGGCAATAGTCATTTTACAGCCAGATCTGTTGACGCCAATAACATAGTATGGTTCAACGACGGTATGATACAGGGAAGACACACATCGAGGGAAGGTCCTCTTGAGGGTATTAATATGCAATGAGATCCGAACAGCAAGGTACCAGATACTTTCATGTACAGATGTTGCAACTAATAGGTATACTGAAGGGCTGACAAAAATAGGACTCGGAATTGCCACTCAGATGAGATGGCCCTCACCCACTAGTTGACTCCTCTCTTCAACTATGCGAACGACGATAGAAATAGAACAGCAGAGCTGGATTATATTTCACATCAGTTTCCAAAGTGCAGTAAGGCGATTCATGGTTACAGGGAAGCATTATCACCATCACGTGCTTTCAAACATGAATGCGCATGAATGCGAAAGATACTGACAACCGGGAGGGATGTACAGTTCGTCAGTTTTTCAGTTCCTTCATATTGCTAACCTTCGCCATAGGGACCCGCTGTGTATTCTGTGTCCGCTGAACTGGACAAAACATACAGATATTTGTACGTATCCATGAGTTCTTAGCTATTTGGTGTTCACAATTTTGCAGACATTCAGGTATGGTCACTGTCCAGATGATTCTCTACCCCCCAGATTTCTTCAGGGTCAAGTTCCTCCTCAGTCGCTTTGTTTATTACCTATGTCGGGTTTGCTAACACTTACGTTCCCTGCAGGTTTTCACCATATGATGATGTATTCCATCATCCACACTTTTTCCAGCTTATGGTTGCAGGATCCTCAATATATATCACCCCACATTCTGCTTCATTGACATTGAAATGACTGATGGTGAGGCTGGAATATCCCCACAAAATCACAGTAAGGCATACCCTGAAAATCGAGTTTATTCCAAAAATGTAGAAACCCTGTAGTTCATCTGATACATATATTCAGCTTCCATACTTATGATGTTTACAGGCTCTCTTAATGTTCCCTGTCCTCCCATCTCACAATATACTCCCATTGTATTGAACATGTGCTTTGCTGATATGATATTTATGCGGACACCTGGTTCCATAGCTTTATCACAGGAAGCTTCAGTTAGCAGACGAAATCTTAACTCTTGGAGTCAGACCTGCTTTTTCATGAGTTACGAATCGATATCCCTCACATGGCACAATGGTAAAGGGTTCGATTCCCCCCTGGTGCAGTTTATGCCATTTCCTTGGTTTTTGGCTTTGAATGGCGCTGCACAGCAACGGTGAGCCAATATGATAAAGTCTCAGCAGAGGAGGCATGTTAGAAGCACTTAGGATATTACCCTTGTACATAGGATAAATTCAGGGACACAAAGTTGATAGTAAAAGGGCCATTTTTACGAGATTGCTCTGGGATGCGAAGTGTGAAAGCAGGGAGCACATATGTTTATTTAAAATTGTCATACCAGCTCATATGAGGGTCAATTATTGAGGTAGTGGTACTTGTCTTAGATTCGGTCGCTGCAGTTTAAATTCGCATAAGAGGCAGCTTGTCAATGGTTATGTTGCGACCCAAGGCCTTACTTGGGCCTTATTGTTTATTCTCATATAAATTAAAGAGGAATATCTTGTCTGCATGCAGGGTGAAGCTTCAAGCCTGAATTTGTTGTTTGGAAAGCTGTGAGAAAGCGAGGATTGGCAAGGAGCACCAACTTTTTGTTCTTTCCTCGGCAGGAAGAATCGAAGTCTCTGGAAATGCCGTAGGCAAGCAGTGGGAATGGCTTAGTCACTGGTTTATTCAGCTCATAACCACAGTTACCTTGGACTACAACATCCATGAACAATGCACTCTACAACTTACCTGATGATGTACTGATCTACATCATTGCATTTCTTTCTGTTCCTGACATTCTTCTCCTCTGACGAGTGAATATTTCCTAGCTCAATGATCCTAGATCCTAATAAAGACAGACATGTACCCGGTTCAACACACTCACAAGACTAGAGATTGTTATGGATATTAGGTATCTGTCATTAGTCAACACTCACCGACTGCTTACTGTACAAAACATCACATAGGCTATAGAGATTTCTTCCATTTTCTTTTGCTTTCCTTCGATACTCTTCTTGTATATTCTTTAGCTATTCACCTTCCAGAACATTCATCTAGTAGAATATTTATACTGAGTATTGTAGTACACCTGAGGGGCATCTAATTTTACTTCTTAAATTCCTCAACCCAGTGTGAACTTAAATACAGATGTTGGTTACACCAAGTGCTTGCTGAATGTCTTGCTTACCGACTATGCCAAGCACTTTTCGGATCTCTTTAGTGATGCATAGCACTTGCTAACTCTTGGTTGGAGACTTCTTGGTAAAGTTGAACTCATTATATTCTTCATTCTCTTTGGCATGGATTTTTATTAAGTACTACTGCTTTGTACTTAGTTGGAATTAGCCATAATCATAACAGAGATCATATGGATCAATGCATTCAAATTCAACATTCTCTCCAATGACTACCCCGCTCCCATTGATGACACAGATCTTGAACAATGCATGCTTCACATGTACTGACTCACATCTCAATGGCTTGCAGACTCTCCTCTCATGCCAGAGTGAGACGAGTTTCATTGGGTCACCCGTATGGGAAATCAAATTCATACCAGGCTGACAGCACAAGTGGTTGCTGACCATATAGAAAAGGATCTGGTTGGTGCTTACAATCTGGGATATCTCGCATGGGTTCAAGTGTTCAGAGTGGTCACCAAGAGGCATGCTGTTTACTGGATGAAGCTGAACATGGATACAGAGTCTAAGGTGAGTATGGCTGTGGTGTTGGATGGGTGAGTGTTTGTTATTCTGATGACACATTGCTAACTGGTGTGGATCAGAGAGGATTGTGCTCCTGCATCTGGATGATGATGGAAGGATGGATGAAATTCACTCATTCAACATTGACCTCTGCCCTGTTACCTTCACTGGTGATATCATAGCTCTCAGCGATGACTTGTCCAAGGCATTGATCTATAATTGGAGGACAGATGAGCAGGCCTACCTCAATGAAGGAAGTGACATGCAGGTAACCATTTGCTAACTGATCTGTTTATCACTTATTTATCTTGAATCATAGTACAACTACTGCATCCAAGTCATCTTCACTGTGCTAACCATTCTCATCATCTGCACACACTCCATCAACCCTGTACACTACCCTGCCCTTCCTCCATGGACAAACACACTCTCCCATTACCTCCTACTCCTTCAGCTGGATCAACAGTGCCAGTGCAACACCCACCTCAATCCTCATCCGCTCTGAGAGTGATAACCCCTGGGCACCAGAACTCAACTCATTCAAACACTATTCTCTCTCTTCCTTCCCACCAACCCTCACCAGCCAAATACTCTCCCAGCATGGTGCACCTTGTTGCACTGACATCATCCTCAGGAAACATGGGACTGCTGTATGGATATGGCCCCATGACCATGTGATAGCCTCCCACTGGGAGAAACATGATGGTGTGGGACACTCATGGCTGCCCTATTCCCTGGTCCACTCAACCCCACTGCTGAACCCTGTGTTTGCAAGGTATGCTTGAACCTGTTGACTAACTGGACCACATTGGATTATGATGAAGAGCTCAGGAGAATCGCCCTCAGGTTGGGGTTTGGGAAGATTACTGTTGTCCAGTTGTAGTCCAAATACATGTCCTCCTGACATACAAGGTGTGATGTCAAAAACCAGGGTTTGAATCTCTTTGGAAGGGTTAAGGTACAAAATAAACTTTTTCTTCCTTGCACATGAGCCCAAGCTTGATTCTGCACATCCAACCTTCATGGAAGTAATTGTATTTTCACTACTAAGCTATCTGCCTTTCTACTGTCTGACTATTTGTGTGATTCTTATGGGTGGCTAGTTTCTGCAATGAGTATCACTATAAGGGAAACTGTAAATGGCAGTTCAAGTAATCCTTGGTGATGCTGTGGTCTTGGCATGTCAATTGTCTGAGTTTGAGTCCTGGTTAGAGGATTATGTGCATATTCTGCAATGTCTTTGTATCATCTTGTTAGAGTTCTTATGCAATAGTGAGCTCTGGAAATATCACAGACAAAGTCAAATTAGTCATGTTTGGGTCACATCCTCTTGCTCGGCATACCCATCATATTTTGCTTTCAGTTTTAGTTGTATTTTCCTTACAAGACCCATGTGTCTCCCTTTCTATTTATGTATCACTATAGAAGACGACCAAAATAATCCTTCATGATGCTGTGGGTCTCATCCTGTACTGCTTACTGCCTGGGTTTGAGTCCTGGTTGAAGGGTTGGCTGTCCTACATGTGCTTCTTTTTTGTACCTTCTTGTTCTTCTTATCTGTATCTGGAAGTTTATGGTACCTCAGACAAAGTTGTGGCTTTACCAATTGTTCACCCATCCATGATATTCGTTATGATCTCTGGAGTCAGCATTCTTATGTATCCACTTGGACCCTTATGATGGCTCCTCCCTCAGCCTGTCTCATGATTGGGGCATCATGTTATTGCTACTTTGTTTTGTTAGACTCCCCCTGTATACCTTACTTCTCAAATTCAGTTTTACCTCCAGTCCTGACTTTATGGAGCATGCTGACCAATGGTAATAGAACTTAGAAAGAGTCTCCTCCATCGTTCCTTGATTCTATGTGTGCTGTGTAATATGGCACCACAATTCAAATGCTGAAGATGCCATTCAAAGTGGATCATTTTGCACCCTTGTTCTGCGGCTGTAGTCATGAGCCTTCTCTGTATTTTTTTCTCCCTGCACAAGGTTGTAGAGTTCAAAGCCAAGCTTAATGGGTGGGGAACTATCCAGGGGGTGCGATGGTTCAGGCTTGTTGCAATCAGGAACTCCTCTTAGTTTTTTGTAGCACATAGGTAAAGCTGCTTTGTCCAAGTGAATATATCCTCACTGTGATGAGGATACAACCCTCAGATCTACCAGCTGATTTAGATCAATGGACCATAAATCAAGCAAGCTGCCCATGGTTTGATTCTGCAGGTCAGCTCATCACTATTCTGTCATGAAATGTTGATTTTGTTCTCTGTTTTGATTTCAATCCAGGGTTTTTGTGAAGAAGGTGGGACAGTATGCCATATGTACAAGCTTCTGCTGATTCATCTTTCTATGGACCCTGGTGTAGCTCAGGAAAGGACTTCAGTATTGAATTGGGCACATCCATGTTATCACTTTTGTTAATGAGAAAGATATACTATACTATTGGTCATCATAGATCAGAGGAGTGGATGATCAGAACCTGGAGTAAAATGTAGACTGTCCTATTTGTTAAGAAACAACACTGGGGGACATTTATGTTATGATATTGCCAAGGTATTTGGCTGTATTCTGAAGGAATAAGGCAATCAGGGCTTCAGCTTGCAATAGTCTGGCAAATGAAGAAAAAATGCCAGTTGATTGTGCAGAGATATACTTTGCTGGACCATTAAGAATCCTATACTATGGCTACTATGAGAGCTCAGGAAACATCTGGTATGGATGCACCATAGGTAAGATTTGTAGCACTGTCATCTTACATTCCTTTCCATTTAAACTAAAAAGTTCAGTGGAAAGTGGCATATTGCTCAGTGGTCCATATAGTAGGATATCAGAGAAAGAACACTGCCATTATTCCCTGCCCACCCAATGGAAACTTTGGTATCTGTTCTTCAAACTCAAACTGGAGAGATCATCCAAGGCTGTCACGGTAGAGATCACAGAGTATTTAGAAGGGAAGCATTTCAATAATAATTACTGCTCTAATAGCTATATGGTTTCCACAGCAGATCAATAGTAGATGGTATAGCTTGTGCAGAAATAAGGCCAGTTATCAGGGTGAAAAAATGGGTCATATCTCAGAGCCTCAATCCTTGGCTGTTGCTGTGATTTAACAACCCTGGCATTTTTGGATGCTTGATGTGAGGGCACCAGTGTTTTATATCAAGAAGAATTGGATATATTAGTCATGGGAAATTGAAAGCCTCTCAGCCCATAACCTTCTTGTTCAATGACCATCACTCTCAACAACCTGCCTGATGACCTGTTGATCTATGCCATCACATTTCTCTCTATCCCCGATATTCTGCTTCTCCATCAGGTGGGTATAGTTACTTCTCTCCAAGATCAGTGCTCTTACCTGCTCCTTGTGAAAAGACTTGTACTCGGTTTAATGCACTCACAAGGCTAGAGATTGTATGGATCAATGCATTCAAACTCAACATTCTCTCCAATGATTACCCCTGTCCCATTGATGACACCAATCTTGAACAGCACACATGTCATTCCTACCAACTTGTGTCTCAATGGCTCACAGACTCTCCTCTGACCCCCATGAGTGAGATAAAATTCACTGGCTTGCCTATAAATGATATCAAATTCATACCAGGACAGCAACACAAGTGGATTCTAATAGTATCATGTAGGACCAAGAAGGTGCTGATGGTCTGGGATATCACATGCATGCACAAGTGCTCAGAGTGGTCACCCAAAGATGAGAAGCCATTCACTGAGATAATTCTTAATAAAGACCCTGAGTCTGAAGTGAGCATTGTGGTCACATTGGATGGGTAAGTTCTTGTTTCTCTGATTACTGGGACCCATCGCTGACTTGTGTAGATCTGAACAAATTTTGTTCCTCCATCTCAACAACAATGGAACCTTGCATGAAATCCATGACATCAATGTCAGTTTCCACCCAGTCAGCCTGAATGGTGATATTGTAGCTTTCAGTGATGACATTTCCAAAACATTGCTCTACAACTGGAAGGCAGAGGAGTGGGACTACCTCAATGACAGAGGCGATATGCAGGTAACCATTCTGTAGCTGTTCAAATCATGCGTATTCATTTCTTACACTCACAGGACAACAATTGCAAATATATCATCTTTTCCCCAACCTCCATTGTCATCATCCATGCCAACACTCTTAGTGTCTATGTCTTGCCACCCCTCTTTGGCCAAACTAACACCCCCATTATGACAAACCTTTTTGACTGGCACATTAGCACCAGCACAACACCTACATCCCTCCCCACACTTTCTGAAAGCTACAGACCATAGATGTTACAGCCCCATTTGTTCCAACTGTACTCCCTGGCCTCTGTTCCCCCAACCCTCCTCTCAGAAGGATTATCCTGCCATCATGTAATTGTTGGCAGATCAAGCCAACAACTGTTGGTGCATCAACCTTTGTCCAGTCACCAGACCTTACCCACACCACCACGAATTATCATGTATATACTCAAAGTTTCTATCTTACTAACTAAGCTACAATTTTAGAACACTCTTAGAACATACTAGAATAATCGTAGAGGTATAAAAGCCTTGCATTCATACTGCGATAGACTTAGATTATCCAATTACTCTCCCACTCATTACTACTGCTGCTCACAGGTTATGGGCCCTGGCCATAACTAATTCTCAATACCAGTACACTCACCTCAGATAGATTTACCTCCACAATCGATTCATCCTCACCATGTCCACCAACAACTTCTCATCCACCACAAAACTTGGAGAGTACTTTGCCAAACTCTCTGCACGCAAGGCTGATGGCATGAACTGGATATTCTTTCATGATTGCTTCCTTTTTGCTGTTGATGCTGTAGGTCTGAGTGACCATTTTGAGGATGTTGGAACTGCAACAGAACCAACTGCACTAACTGCAGTAGATCCCAAGAACCTCACAGCAGATGAAGCAAAGGCAACCAGCAAGTACCTGAAAACGTGCAAGATATGGAGGTCCGAGCAAGCCATAATCAAGCAGAGAATTGCCTCAGTTATTTTGGATTTGTTATTCTTGAAGGTGAAGGGCAAGGCAATGGCAATGGCAATGTGGGAGAAGGTAAAGTCAGAGTATGAGAAGAAATTGAAGATGGTCACAGTTGACCTGCACCAGAAGCTCCAGGATGAGTGATGTGCAGAAGGAGGTGATGTGAAGGCTCACCTCATGAAGCTACAGTCCATACACAAGGACCTCATCATGATGGGAGCAGACCCAGGTGATGATAACTTTGTTGCAATAGTCCTAGGATCACTCCCTGCCTCATTTGAGACATATCTCTCTGCAGTTACAGGCACATTGACACTCCTTGGCAAGGCTCTCAACCCCGATATGGTGCTACAGGGCATCAATGATGAAGCAGACCGACAGAAGGTCAGGTCAGGAGGGAAGGGTGAGAAGGAGGCCAACATTCTATAGTGGGAATAGTGGAAAGAAGTCCAGGAAGTTGGTGGAGTGCTATAACTGCCACTGGAAGGGACACATGGCAAGGGATTGTTGGGCAAAGGGAGGAGGAAAAGAAGGCCTGAAGAAGGGTCATGGGCAAGTGAACTCAGCAAAGGTAGAAGAGGAGTTTGATGCCACATGGTTCACAGAAGAAGAGGTGGAGTTTGATTTGGCTGAAGAAGATGATGAGAAAGACTTCTTGGATCTGCCACTCCTCCAGGATGTCAGTAACAGTGAGGATGAAGCTGATGAACCAGACATCAGTACACCAGAACTCATAGGAGAAATTACCTCGCTTACCTCTGGGAACCTTGCAGCAGCTGCTGTCAATACAGAGCATGAGTATGAAGTTGATATCTTCGACTCTGGTGCTACACAGCATATGACACCATCATGCCATCGGTTAATGAACTATAGGACTATCAAGCCTTGAGGGATCATGGCAGCGGATAAGAAGAAGTTCAAAGCTTTAGGGAAGGGTGACATGCATATCACAATTCCTAATAGGAAGAATCAGACAACAAAAGTTGTTGTCAAGGATGTACTCCATGCACCCAATCTTGGAGTTACACTCCTCTCTGTTGGTTGTATCACCCAGGCAGGTTATTCCCTTGATTTCAAGGATGAGGAGTGCCACATCTTCGACAAGAAGCATCACCAGATTGGATCAATTCCCCACATCAATGGGCTATACAGACTTCATGTACCTGTTTCTCATCCAGAAGCTTATCATGTTGATGATAGACCACATATTGTGACACCAGATGAATTACATTGTCTGATGGGTCATCTTCCAGTCGACATGGCGAAGAAGCTTGTCAAAAATCAATTAGTTGATGGTCTGGAACTTGATGAAGAAAGCCCCACCTCAAAGGATCAATGCCCATCATGTCTGCATGGCAGAATGACAAGGAAAGCAGTCTCCAAGCTTAGGGAGAACGATGCATCAGGGGGAGTGGGTGATCAAGTTCACAGTGATGTGTGGGGACCAGCAACTATTGAGACACCCCAGCACAAGAAATACTACATCACATTTACAGATGATGCATCGTGCTACTCTGTAGCTATGCTACTCCACTCAAAAGACAAGACATTGCAGTCATTCAAAGATCTTGAGGTGAGATGGGACAAGGTGCATGGTATCAAGATAAAGATATTACATTTGGACAGAGGAGGAGAATACAAAAGTCATGAATTTGATGACTATCTAGCAGAAAAGGGCATCCAGCATCGCTTCACAGTCCATGATACACCCAAACATAATGGAGTCGCTGAGAGACTCAATCGCACACTCCTTGAAAAGATCTGAGCCATGCTTCATGCTGCAGAACTGCTGAAGAACTTGTAGGGCGAGGCACTGAAGCATGCCATATGGTTGAAGAACTGGATGTCATTGAAGGCCATTGTATGGAATACAAGACTGGTATGCTCCGGTTATAAGCAATAGCCGGTATTTGCATATACTGACACCTGCCATGTATAGCAATATGACCCCAGAAACTTATCTGTAGCCAAGTATAGCATAACATTGAATATCATCTACATAATATTTATTTTTCCTTTCTGCTGGGTAATCAAAATTCCCAGTTTTGTGCTTATGGCAAACTCGGCATTCCATGATTTGAAATGAGCCTGTGTGTTGTACATAGATACATTGTTATGCTTTTCGTGGTTCTGAAATGTGCAACTGTACAGGTCATAGATTATGGATAGTAAGTAACCTATGTTAATCTTGCATCCATAACCTTAAACAAAGACTCATACGCTTCCGAAAATGAAATGTTTCAATCAAGTTTCCACCATATGTCTTTATCGTTGGCGAGTCATTTCTTTATAAAGGACATCATTCAGTGCAATTCAGCTTGAGCCTTGGGTTTATGGGACTAAAGTGCAGCTGATCGATGGTTTTGAGGGGATCAGTATTCGGACAATTTTTTCTTTGATCTCTTTGCCCAGAAACTGATAGCGGCATGATCAAGTACCTGAAGCTATGGTTGAAAAGTCCTTAGAGCTTTTCAGGCGAGCTGCAATTATGGATGATGCCATGTTGATGACATCACATGAGACAATATGTCAACCAGTAGAGTGCAATGTCTTTGACTTCAATAGATTGTGCAATATGTGCATCAAAATCCATGGTCATTATGTATCCTAGGTCCAAAACAAAATTCCCCTTGTTCACTGCTAACTGGCATGAATGGGTCAAAACAGGTGACTTGCTGATTTATTTGAAGACACTCCACATTTAGATAAGAGATTCTCCATACCACATGGTCCTTTGTAGAGTAGCTGTGCTCATACATGTTCAATTACTATAGTTTTAGAAATTAGATTCAATCGGGACTAAGAGAATATAATTCTTTACAGATAAATCTCTAGCCATAGTAAAGAACAGGATGGCAGCCAGAGCAAGTACTACCAATTGGAAGATCAACAGCATCGCACCTCAAAATGTGTTGACTTTAGGCAAATTGTTTTCACATGGGAAATTCAGACTCAGTTCAGACTCCAATGATGAGCCTCAAGGCTCTGTACGCTCAGAATTCACGGATTTTAGCATTATAATAAATGCCTTGTCCACTTAGCAGACTTTCACTAAGTCAACGATTGCAATCATGGCAATACCCACTCTTACCACCAACTATCCTTCCCAGCTTGTATTCCATATCAATATGTGCCACTTCATTAATGCTGCCAGGCACCTGATTGCAGATCTCACGGATTTAGGACCATCATTGATCGCCCAGCACAGCCATCGACGACATCAGCATCAAGCATCATTTAGAAGAATGCCACAGTCAAAGTACCAACTCCACGGCAAAAGACCTAATACCATGACCTTTCCACTCACTTTACTAAGGCTGTTACAATGCCAAGAAAATGCTGCACACATCTACTTCAGTGTACTACCTTCAGTGTACTTTGCCACAGCAACACAGCAGCCCAAGAGTCCGTATGTCAGGGGAATTCTTTCTGATCACTAAGTCTATATGTGGTAAAACCATGTGGGTGCTGTTACTTTAGAACTCTGGGAGCACGTGTTTTGTATCATTTCTTACCAATTGATGTACTAAGGACTTACTAAGGACTCATTTCAAGTATTCTAATTTTATTCCGGACTTGTAGTATAAAAGCTAGTATACACCATGGAAAATAGGTAGTTGCTAGACAGAAGTTACTGGACACTAGCGATCATCCACGTTATCGACCACCATTATCGCTTGTACTCGCTAGGAGATAGACAATAACAACATAGTCACTCCAAGTTATACTCTCTGTCACGGCTTTTCTTCTAACGGTATTGGTGTATGCTCATATTGCACCAATACACGGAATTCGGTGTCCACAACTCGCTTTTATCTTTTAATCCACCAGCATTGTTTCACTTTCACCAGCCAGGATTGTTTTCATCAGTTTTCACCTTCTACGTCACCACCGTTTTACCCAGCTCAGTTCAGTACAGTTACGTCCCCGTGTGGACACAGATTAGGATCGTTATTGCTGCCAGCAGTGTCTGTCACGGAATTTTGGTCAACAGCTTCAGTATAGGATCATCAGTCACAGTATTTGGTATCTTGCTGTCAGTTTCAGTATAGGATAGTCTCCGTGTAGACTCAGGATTAGTATCAGTTTCGTTTTGCCATCGTTAACCTCAGTATAGTTTCAGTTTCAGTCCAGCCCAGTCCCAGCCATTGTTTTGCCATCACTAGTTCCCCCTCATATCATCACCAGTTTGTCTTATCTTCATTTTACCACCAGTTTCACGTTTCTCGGCTACAGTCTTCGTCTCTTGCTGTCACAGTATTTGTTATCTTGCCAACAGTATTTCTCTTTGACGGCATTCTCTCTAATTCCGTCAACATCGCCCATGGCTTTTACTAGTTAAATTGCTGTCACTTCGTTCACGGTTTGCTGGTATTCCCAGTTATACCAGATTCCATTCCTTCTCGTCTATCGAGACTCTTCCCAGCTTACAGCCAATGTTTTCTAGTACTCGATCGTTAAGGGTACTACCTCGCTGACTGAAAAGTCGCAGAGTATACTTGCATTCTTGAGGAATTCATCGCACAGAGGTGCACTGAAACACTCGCACAACAACAAAGCCTTTATTGCCGCTATGCGCCATTTGCTGTGAACTCCTCTAGAGTTTTGGTTTTTGCCGTTGCCACGGAAGTTTAGGCTCATCACCGATGAAGTGACTGCTCACATCAAAGATCGTTATCATTCATCAATCATTTTTGACTCCTATTGGCTATGTGTACCCAAAGATATAAGCCTTTGAGTAAATTGGCACATTCTGCAATTTGTTTCATTCTCACAGGGTTTCTCCCGGCCAAAAACTGTCCCTTTATTCCGATTCTCTCCAGAAGATGAGGAGGATCAAGATAACATAGCTGAAGACTGTTCACAAGATTCAAGCCCAGATGAACCAGATTTCCCTATTCCACAGAAGCCATCTGCCATTTTGAGACCATTCCATACTGGAATCAAAAGAAGGGACAAGCACAAAACCCAGGCAGGTTCAATTTTGATTGTCTTCGGTCATCTATTTTACCAGTTGCAGGATGAATCGAGTTCATCAAAAGAAATCATGTATTCGTTACCGAACTTTCAGTCTTTGCAATCACCTAAAAACTTGCTTGCCTCAGCAAATCCAGAAACAGCATCTGATGGTGAGCTGCAAGCAAAGGATCCTGATGAGTTGTTTGTCCTTCTCCAATGTTACAAATCTTTGCCCATGCCTTGCAGAATACTAGTGTACCTGTGGACTATGACAGGTGGTGTGAATATTAGCAACAGTGATCTGAGTCAGTTATCACCTGGAGAATTTTTGAATGACAATCTCATAGAGCTCGGATTATGGTGTGTGACTTGTAAACCACCTGTTTCAATTTTTACAAATATCTTTAGGCTGACATATGAACTTCTGCAAACTGGCAAGCCCTCTGCTGCAAAAGAAATTACTATTTTTAGTCCTTTTTGGTTCCCAAAGTTCCAGAAGTGAGCTCTTATCAACGTCACTGGGAGCCGTGCTTATATATTCTCATAGGAATTACCAAGATGTCCACCATTGGACTGCAAAGTTTGACATATTCAAGAAGAAATACTTGATTATACCAATGCATGAAGAGTAATTTTCCTCCCTAGCTGCTTCAACTGTGACTTGACAACATATATAGTCTTCATTGGTACCTCGCCATTATTTGCCATCCCTGAATATTGCCTGCTAACGAATCAAGAACACCTTGGAAATGGTGAAAATCAAAACTTGTCCGAAAGCAATGACTACAGGTAAGTCAGACTAGAACTGTGTGGTTCATTGTAATCACATCGATCCAGAACAATTATTTTTACCCTCGATTCCCTTGGTTATTCGCACTGGAGCGAAGCCAGCCAATTAGGGAAATTCCTCGCCCTTGAAGCCCTCGACAAGAAGGGGTTGCAAAATATAACATGGAGGCGATTGGTCAAACTGTCACTGTAGGTTCCAGAACACATGCCAATCACTGGCTTAATGCACAAAGCAGGTACCCAAACAACCAAACTTTTCTGACTGTGCAGATTCATACATGATGCACTTTGCCTGCAAAATTCATGTCAGATCCTGACAAATTTTACTAAAGTCATGGTAATCATTCTCACCTGTCGTCCTCAACTCATTCACATAAGACATTATCAGTCAACTTCAACCCTTCCGACTGGCATTGATCTGAAGACTTTTTGGGACTGATGAAGAGGTTCCTGGCTTGCGAGCATCTTTTCGGAATGAGATCATTGATCTCTCCAACTGAATGGTTCATTATGATGGCAACGCAACCTCCAGTAGCAGCAGATTCATGTGAAAGTGACGTCGAGATAGTGGAGCAGACTGGATTAGCTGTTGGTCTTAAAAGGAAGCCTAATGAAGTGGACTGACCCTGGAGGAATCACACCATGAGCAGAAGAGAAAATGTATGTAGACAAAGGTGTCTATCAGATGGATATCAGGTACCTATCTCCCATTGTCTCCAGTACCTAAGAAAGAGCATAGAATTTTCTTCGGTTTTCTACAATATTTTGTCACATCTGTTTGCCTATAAGAAAGGACAGAATGTTATAAAGGATACTACAATCTATGAAATGGTATCATAGAATCAATTTAATGTAAATCTGGTAACACAAGCTAGCTGTGTTTACCACCTACTCCATCAGTCATTTCCTACGCTCCGACTGGCATTCTTCGACTTCCTTTCTCGACTCTCCTCAACTCGATTTTTTTGTGAATGCTTAGCTACATACATGTTGACGATGTCTTATAAGGTTCTTTATTTTTCTTTCTTCCCTTACAATACACCTACGGTAGAGAACAACATACCACATGTGATTGCGTATAGCAACCAACACAGCAGATGTTTGACTGAGCCCCAGATAATCATCCCTTGCCACAGGCAACTATCATTGATTAACGGTATCTTTGAGAGAAAATTGTGCGACCATCACTAACCACAACACTGTATTCTACACATGTTATGACACCTACTCCTAGGAACAAATGACGCAAGACCATGGCAAGATGCTCCTCCCCTGTGGAATGTAGCTCGAGCCAACATCATGAGGTGCCTCGGGCATACGAGGGGGAGGATTCATGTTTCGCAGACAGTCTCCTCCCACCTCCACACTAGAGGACAGTCCTCACACACTTTCATCCATAAGCCTGTACTAACATACAACCTCCGCAAGTGCTACATAGATGCCACACATGGCTATGCGATCCCTGATCTACAACACCCTGCGAAAACCCCCCTCACACAACTCGACCACTATCCAAGGCGACTACCTTCGGGCCTCCCAAGGCCACAAACCCATCTCTCCCAAGTACAGCCTGCCTAGATATCACTCTCTCCTGCCCCCCCTCTCTTTTCACGACGCGCTAGTAGAAATTAGTTAGTAAAGCGTACCACCCTCAGTAGATACCACTCGAGACAGACCACAACATAGGGTATAGAAACCAGATGTATACATATGCCCTAAAAGGTGTGAATACTATAAATGGGATTTCATGAGAAAATAGAGCACAAGATCGCATCCACCCATTCAGAGGTATGCCCAGACACATTTCAAAGTGACTCCGAATGTTATATCTCACACCGTTTTATATCTGTCTTCAAAGACTGGAAGGCTGGATTGTGGGTCTTAGTCAGCAATGTCATCGAGCTGGATGATGATCTTAGTCAGCAATGCCATCAAGCCATCATATGACCATGCGAGTTGAGTGCCATCCTGTGACATCCCAGAATAGAATTCCAAAGATGAACTAGCTCGTAGCCTTTGTCCCCTTCTACAACCACCTATAATGTAGTCTCATATGCCTGAGCAAAACAAAATATAACATCATTCACTACATATGCTGTAAGAATTCTCAGATGGACATCTCTATAATGGGTGCCTCGCCCGAAATTTCAGCATCTTCTTCATCAGCTTCGACATCTTCTGCATCGGCATCACCAAGTTCGTCATCACTGTTCAAGTCTGGAATATCAGGTATTGTAGCTTGGTCTGATTGAAGTTTATCAGATTGCTTAGTGTCCGAGTTGAAAGATTCTGACCTTGCCCAACCACCTCTTTTGGACCTCCTTGATTCTTGTTGGTTTCTTCTGCTTCGTATGCTCTCATAGAAACGACGTGCCATTCATCAAGAACAACAATATGGCGTTCATGAAATTTATCCAGCAACGCAAGGTATACATTCCAGATGCACTCTCGGGTTACTTCTGGATGGCCGAGTTCCTCCATAAATACTTCAGCCTACTGCCTAAACGAGTTAGGGACAAGCTGCAGCACAGGGTGATCAGGTGGGGCATAAATTTGCCTCGCAGCTTGTATAGATTCTGGGATGAAAGCAATCTATGAAGAAACGTTGAATTTGGAAAAATAATAGGTGCTTGTACGTACCTTGAAATCCTGGGCCCCAAATCGCTCAGGAGCTTGTTCAATGAGTAAAGGGACTCTGTTTGGTCTTGCCACCTTGCGATTTCATCTTTTCTTTGTCGTGTTTTTTTGATCACATACAAATCGAGTTCTCGTTGGAACCAAGGGATAAAAAGGAAACGGAATATCAATCTATGAAATCAGCTGAGTCCAGTTTGATTTGAAGCTGTTAAAGAGAAGAGACGTACGCTTCCAGAGGCACCTTCAGATCATACCAGCCTTGCTCAATGCCAAACTGAAAGATTTCTTCATAGCCAAAGCTAAAGTGAGCGTGGAACACACTCCATACGATTTCTGAAGGAATGTTTTTCTTCTCTGCCATCCATCGGTGCTGCAAGGTATTGTCCAAGTCCCTGTCAGCCCATTGGCGCAAGAAGCTATGCGCCCTAGCCAGGTTACCGTTCTCGTTGCCCATATCACTTTGTGTAAGAACAGGACCGTCTGGACAAGAGTAAGATAGTGACCCCTTGCAGAAAGGTTTAAAGACCTACACCCGGTGTGTTCCACTACATCCAGGTAGTATGAACAGATTAAGATGGGATTTGAATTGTTCCACCAGACTCGCATCCATTTCAGGACACCGGTGAAAGGGTCTGTGCCACTGTGAAGGCAGAGGCCAAAGTGATATTTCCACTTGTCATGTTGATCGACGCACCAGAGGTCATTGACACCAGTGCAATAAAAAACTTTTCTGATGATTCCCTTTCGAATTCTTCAGGACACATGTGAGGGTTCCTTCAAATACACCCATTCCTTGATTACGTCTCTGTCCCTTTCATTAAGAATTGTACCATTCGAAGAATTTAAAGACTCACCTTGAAACTCGCACATTGTGGTCGATTCTTAGATGCTTCTTCATTTCGAAATAACCCGCCTTAGGGAATTACTCCCGCATTTCGTCCAAATGTTCCAAGACAGTCTCAACAGTATGCTTTTGCTGCCATGTACTGAGGAATCCTAGCCTTTTTCTCATTCTTTTGAAGCTGGAAAGGCTGGAAAGAAACCATTAACGGATCCTCCGGGCGAGAACTGCAACATACCCCAAGGTATACTTCGATGTATCGAAAACTTTCTGCAGTTCTTCACACAGAACAGTATTGTTTACATTGCCCTCCATCAGCCAAAGCTCTTTCAGTCTCAGCAAAATTATTTCATCTGGTACTTCACCACAGTCAATGGAATGAAAAGATAATTTACAATGACTCACCAAGTGGAAGGTGTTGATTGGGCATTTTGACGAGAAACAGGTATAAATGTGGATACCCAAAAATCGCTTGTTGTCCTGGCCTAGATTGGACATAAATCTGGAAAAATCATGGAATATCTCTTATTCGTGTTGGTCTCCGTGACGTGAAATGGAAACATGCATAGACACTGACAGTTGTCTCATTGTTAGGGTCCTGTTATTCCGACACAATGAATGGCCCTGCATCATTGGACAAGATTTTCTGGGATATCTGGTGACACTCGTTACAATTTCGGATGGAAAATATCGGCGTCTTTTTATATGAAGTGGAAATGTTCGCCGGGCCAAGAATATCTTTCCCTAAAAGATGAAATTTTTTCATTCTGGCTGAAAAACTGGTTGAATTTGGGCCCAGCAATGTAGTCTTTACCATAATTAAGTAACCATTTTAAGACGGTATGACAATGTGCAAAAACCGGTATATAAAGCATGCTTTCATTGCAGAGACCGCCAAACTTTCATGAGTGAAAACACTTCCAGTTCTCAAGCAGAGACTTGCATCCTCTTGTCTTGCTGTGTTGGCGTGCTTCTGCTCTTCACAGGTAAAGCCTCTTTTAAGTATTTTCACGACGTTCAGTTGATGAAATTCAAGGCTTTTATCACTCTCACAGACTGCTCACAGCCATCACCTCGAAGTCTCTTTGTGCGTGCTTAGCAAACCCAGCCTTGCAATTCAGTAACGTCTTTCTTCCACATAGGTGTTCGACCCACAAAGAGACTGATTATGGAACCGAGCAAAATGTCGCTCCACAGTCCACCTGCCTTTACCATCTTTATAAAGTGTCCATCTGGGAACTTTGCGCTCGGTAAGTTTTACAAAGTCATTGATCGTGTCTTTGGTGAACTGTTTTTCCAGTCATCAATGGAAGTTCATCCATCCAGAATATCTTAGAAATTCTAAGACAGAAAGTCTCCGGCAGACAGGATGCTTGCGGTATCTTTTCAAGTCCATTCCATTTGTACATGCCTGGCAGATGGCTTCCTTTATCCGCCATGGAGATGCTGGATGCTCTGAACGTGAGCGACCTTTCAACTTTACATTTCCAATCACTGCTTCTAGGGGGTGCCAGTAAGTATTCGACAATATAATGCGCTGGCAGGTACTGACACGTTCCAGGCCCAGTTGATCCGGTCGATCTTACCTTCGCACTAGATGATAGTTCCGATCATTGCGAATACCAACGTTGCAAAAATCACAAAGCGAACGGTGATCCATACAAGTTTCAGCCAGGGGAGGAAAAGTTTCAAATGAAGGCATGTTTGCGCAAGGATGGGCCTGCTACGTTGAGGAACCTGGGGACTGAGACCCTGACCTTGACGACTTGTAAATCCTGTGCTGCGCTTGCATCAAAGAAAAGTATGCCCTTTTGCGCTTTCACCTCTTCCAAGCCAATATTCTTTTATAGAAGCTGCATCACAGCGCACAAGACATCTATCGAAGAAAGATGGAGTGGTGTCATCCTGTAAGTCTTATCCACGTGCACAACACGATAAATCTCATTGGTTTTGTTAGCCCGTCAGATGGCACCACCACCCATTCCAACGATTCCAGGAATTCACCTGCTCGAAGTAGCCGATGCTATTCTGAAAGTCATTGTGTCCATCCCAAACACCCTTTCAATTGATGAAAGTGTCAAGAAGGCCAAAGCAAAAGGTAGGAATGTTTACTGACCTTTTCTTGTTCAGTGAATGTACTCTCTGACAGGAGCTGCGCCGGAATCGAGGTTGCCAGTCGTGATATCATCGTTGCTGAACAAAAATGCCCTTAAAACCGGTTATTCACCTGCTCATTATCTCTACAATTCCGAGAAGGACAAGTTTCGCAAGATCGCAGTAGAAGGTCAAGGCATACTTGCAAAGGTCTTTGTTCAGGTCAAAAGGGAAAACGGGACAAAGAAAGGCATCTCCTTCCACGTAAGCTGTAACTTTGTCATGGTTACACCATTTGACTTTTGGCAGAACGTACAACGTGGTGTCTCCTTTCCTCCTCCGACTCCCCATGCTGAAGTCGTGCAATGCGTGCTCGAAAGCCTGCTTGTTTTAGTACAAGCCCATCACAAAGTGAAGGGCTTCAAGTTCACTACTGACGATTTCTTCGTTGTCGACTCTGGGTGGATACCCGTTCTGGAAGGAGATTTAACGCAACCAACAGAGTTGTTTTATAAAGGTATAACCAAAGGGCTCTCAAAGAAGGGCACACCAGTCGGAGGCTTGAAATATTCTCAGGGAGCCCCTGAGAACTGGTATATGGTACTCAACCCTGCAGCGGCTGAAAGATATGATGAATGGGAGGCTGGTGATACTCCAAAGGTACGATTATCATCATTATGTGTCAATTTACATTGATTTCTTTCAAGTCATCCCCTGTCAAGAATGGAAAAGGGAAGAAGCGCGAAGAACCAGAACTTGATTCAGATGTACGTTAACTAGGATGCCTCTGTTCGGATATTCATTGATTTTAAACAGATAGATGACCTTTCGGATATCAATTATGTTTCAATTTTTTCCGGACCACCTCAGTCGACCATCTCAGTGAGAGGAGGACATTCTCTTTGTCGCACAACCTAACATCATTCTTTAGGCAAATAGTGAACAGTCATGTTCCTCAAAACAGGCGGTGGGTGACTTCCCAGTTAAGTCTTACCAGGCTAACTGAGTTCTGTAGCTTTCTCCAGCACCTCCTACGGACGTTCCCAGCAGCAAGTGACTTTGTACTGACATTGACGTATCAGACTGCACCAAATGGTTTGACATGATTCCGGACATTATTGACACCGGTGGAACTTACCTTGAGAGCAGCTTCGATCCTGGTGAGTTCTACACCCAAAACAATCCACGTTAATCACCTACACATATTTTAGGTTTACCAGAACGGGCGGTTGAGATTTGTTTGATCCCTCAACTCATTTCTGGACTTCTCAGCAGCCCTCAATTCACCTTCACTTCGCAGTTACAGGGACACATTTATGTCGACTGGGTGGAGAGCAAAGAACAACGACTCGGATCCAGCTCTTTCAAAACGGCTCACTTTGGGCTGCTAAAGGTTGGAATGAACCTAGAGGGTGTTGATGTTCCGGCAGCGCTGCAGGGAAAAGTCTGTATCAAGCAGACGTATTTCAGCCTCATGACTAGGCAAGGGGTGCAGCAGATGACTGATGATGTTGAACGTATGGCTGTCTTACAGGAAGCGAATACTTTGGTCTGGGCGAATGCCATTCATGACATGAGCATTGCATTGGTCCATGCCAAAGTGTCATCCTACGGGCCACTGCCTGGACTGATCCCGGACCTTCGCTTTGTTGAGGCAGCAGTCATGCTGACTTCCCGTCCAGAATCGGTCAAGCTAAAGGATTGGTGGGGTTTTTGTGTCCTGGTGGAACGACTCCTAGATTCTGACGACTTCGTCAAGTATGTATCGAATGGTGCCCCCGAACTGGTCGAAGATGTTTCCAAAGATCATCTTGCCATCGCCACATTTTTATGCTTCCTGCAGCACCTCCAATACTCTCAGACATTGGGAAAGTGTTTTATCTCGGATTATCAAGGTACTTCCAACATCTCCTTCTCAGTAATGGGTTATTGAATGTCATCTTCAGGCACTGGAAAATGGTTGACAGACCCCCAAGTCATGGCGAAATCTGTGTACGTATTGCAAAAATGATAAAACTCAAGCTAACCATTTTACAGTGTTCTGGGATGGCAACTCTTTGGTGAAGGAAACGTGGATGGTTCCCTCGAGCAATTCCCGCAAAGGCACCATTGTAATGAGTGGTGCACTTGGTTCTGCTTACAAGAGTTTTGAACATACGTAGTACTATTCTTGATAGAAGTTTGTTCATAACTACGTTTATGAACCCCCGTTTCTGTCTGACTTGAAAGGTGGCTGAAGTCAGTAACTTTGGGTGGGCCTTTGATCCTCATTTACTTATGTACTTGGATATTTGCATTCTGAAACCTAAATAGTTTTTTTTTTTTGGCTAAATGTTCTCACAGGCCATCCAGCTCGATGGCCAATGGCCAGAAAAGGAAACAGAACCTAGCAAAGTCCGATTGTCTTGAAGACCGATTGTTCTGTTTTGAAATTGTCATTAGTTACCATGTTTGCTTTGAAATATCGCCTTTTCCATCGGGCATGGTTTTATTGTGTTTTTGACGCAATGTTTATGTAAATACAAGAATGAACTGTGTCGCTGGTTCTTAAACAACTCATAAAATCCATCCTGTGGCGCAGTGGCTCTCCTCTGAAGACATTTTTGGTATGAAGGGCCTAGTACCTTTGGGTGGGCCTTTGATCCCCGTTTACTTATTACATGTATATTTGCATTCTCAAATCTAAATAGTTTTTTTTGGTTAAATGTTCTCATGGGCCATCCAGCTCGATTGTCTTAGAGACCAATTGTTCTGTTTCGAAATCATCATTAGTTAACATGTTCACTTGAAAAATCATTTCAAGCTGGCATGGTTTTACAGCTGTTCCAGAAAATAATGAGAATCATGTGAGAACAATGTGCGCCCAAATTTGACATATTTACTACATTTGGTAAATAAATATTGGCCCTTCTCCACAATGTACACCTGTATAACTCGCTCATGTTAGGCCTCTGAGGTCCTTTCTTGAAATTTTACAACAAATACTATAATGATATAACATCTAATCATTGTCTCTGTTCAGATGGGAAGGGATATACCCGTAGCTTCTGGCAACATAGCGGAGCCACCTTGGCATCTGTCATACTTCCTGTTTACTGATGAGAGGTCCCAGAGTTTGACAGCATGTATTCAGGCAATGGCAAGGTCTACAAGAGTGTCTATATGTTCTGATAATTGCTGAAGCAAGCGCGTACCTAAGGGTTATCAGAGTTATCCTGAGACTCAGTCACTCATCCATTGACTAAAACAGGCCAAATTCATTATTGACCACTTTGAAATGGTTGCTGACTTCTGAAAAACAACTTGACAGAGGATGCGAACATCAAGCCAAGGTGTACGTTGAGGAGAAGGGCCAATATTTATTTACCAAATGTAGTAAATATGTCAAATTTGGGCGCACATTGTTCTCACATGATTCTCATTATTTTCTGGAACAGCTGTAAAACCATGCCAGCTTGAAATGATTTTTCAAGCGAACATGTTAACTAATGATGATTTCGAAACAGAACAATTGGTCTCTAAGACAATCGAGCTGGATGGCCCATGAGAACATTTAACCAAAAAAAACTATTTAGATTTGAGAATGCAAATATACATGTAATAAGTAAACGGGGATCAAAGGCCCACCCAAAGGTACTAGGCCCTTCATACCAAAAATGTCTTCAGAGGAGAGCCACTGCGCCACAGGATGGATTTTATGAGTTGTTTAAGAACCAGCGACGCGGTTCATTCTTGTATTTACATAAACATTGCGTCAAAAACACAATAAAACCATGCCCGATGGAAAAGGCGATATTTCAAAGCAAACATGGTAACTAATGACAATTTCAAAACAGAACAATCGGTCTTCAAGACAATCGGACTTTGCTAGGTTCTGTTTCCTTTTCTGGCCATTGGCCATCGAGCTGGATGGCCTGTGAGAACATTTAGCCAAAAAAAAAAAACTATTTAGGTTTCAGAATGCAAATATCCAAGTACATAAGTAAATGAGGATCAAAGGCCCGCCCAAAGTTACTAAGATGCTTCGGCATTATAGGTTTCCATCTTGGAAGCCTCTTCTTCGAGATGAGCGTGCTGCGAGTAGAACGTGACATGAGAACCCAGGTGGTACTTATGAAACAGAAGAATTCAAAGAACATACGCATGACTTCATGGTAGCGATGCCAACAGAAGAATACAGACTTCAGGATTTTCTTCCCTTATTTCGGGCAGAATTCTGGCCATATTTCGTTTTCCAAGAATCACCCCATCTTAAAAAAACATAGTCCGATGCATTGTCAATCCCTTCCACTTGTGATGGTCCACACAATACCGTGGTGCACTGTTCTTTCTCCCCCTAATGTATCCAGTGTCAGTCCAGGAGTCTATGAGAACCAACTGTAAGTCATTCACTTTCTTAAGTGGAACCATATTAAATGATCTGGAAGGGTGTGGATTCCAAATGGTACTACCAGTGCTAAGTGGCCAGTTGTGGTTTACTGCAAAAGAAAGGATCAGGCATTGGCGTTGAACACACATTTGAATCCATTCCTGGTGTATCATGGCCAAGAGGACGATGTAACTTTCAGAGCGTCTTTGCATGAGTGGCAAAAATGGCCCAGGATCACTGCAATGTTCGACAACGATGGGGCCACCTTCTGGGCCATCATATATGGCGCAAGGGCAGGCATCTTCTATCACCGGTGTGTCTTTTGATCTTTTTCAGAATCAAACTCACCATACTTTTGACAGAGAACATGCTGTGGACCAAGTCGATCAGTCAAACCCAACATATCGCAGGGCCCACGGCTTCGATAAAATTGAAAATGTGCTAATCTGTCAGATGAGTCGCAGTGCAACTGTGTATGGATGCATAGATCAATACCCGGCCAACACAACGACTTCGCCATTTCATGCCGGCAGTCGAGTTCCCCGCCCTACACCCACCATAGCTTCACCCACAGCATCTCCAGTGGGGACCCCTTCGAAGCAGAAAGGGAAGGCACACATTCCCAACTCGTCACCAAGGAAAACTCGTAAGTAATTTATCAAGGATTTCCCTTCAACTTTACTTATTCAAATGAGATCATGGCAACTACCTCACTTCCAATGTGACCGTTAATAGCATTGGCAATGGGGACATATTTTCATTTCCCAGTGAGTGTTGTTCTAAAAGTAACTCACCCTCCCTGAATTCCGTAGCATCACACAGCTCACCAAGGACTCCAGTAAGCCTCGGCCAAGCGGGGCCCTCCAGGCCAAGATCCGTGTCACCACTACGTCTTCCCAAGTTACTTGCAAGATATCTGGAGGTATACCAGTACCCGAAGCGATACGTATCAAGACATCTTGAAGAGGCTGATACAAGGGATGACTTTATTGAAGCCGTGGAGGAGAGTATTCCGGAAGAGGCAGCTGGATTCATTTGGGACCTGTACTTTGGGTTGATGGACATAGCCTTTTGAGTCCTCATAGTTAGCCTTTACAAATATGTTTTTCCGAATTTATACATGTTCTTGTGTTCGCAAACAGGGGTGGTACATATTTCAGCTCAAGTTTCCTAATTGAAGTGAGACGTAGCTAAGAAATGCACAGTTTTTTTATGGAGGGAAGGGGGGACTTTGGTGATGATGCAGAATTGAGAATATCCATCACGGATTTTAGCCTGGTGTTAGCATCTTTTGACATGAAAGACTGGAGAAAGAGATATATTTATTTCACTACTACGATTATCGCTAGGGGATATTGGCAGAAGAAATGTACTATGAGGCAGCAGAAGCACTGGTATGCAGAGGTCAAAGTTGCCGGTCACGCAGATACAGTAGCCTGGGACTAATTTGTCTGGTTTGTCAGCATGACCAGCATAGGCACCATGGCCTCAGCATTCTGGTCTCTGGGGCGAAAGTCAAAGCCATCCAATGACCCTGACTGTGATGACTTTGGTGACGGTCATGCAACCTGCACAACACTGGTTCAGAAGTCAAACAAGCACAGTCTTGTCGAAAGCAAAGTGTCGAGACCGCAGAAACTAGGGCCAGTTGAGGTGCCGATGTAAGATCGTGCAATGTGTCGAGAAAGCATCAGCCAAGTCAATGTAACTTAGGCAGAGCACGAAAAACCCAAAAATGACATGGTAGTAGAAATCCTAGCTGTCCAAAAGGATAGGTAAACAAAGCTCAAATGAATGATGCCATTCACATCCATTACAATCAGTGCACCAGGAAGATCAAAATTCTTTGGCGAACCTGAATTTTGAGCATGAATGTAACATTTTACGAATTCGTTCGGGGTTCAGCTAACTTCCCATTTTGGAGGATGATGACCAGTGAACCTAACAAGTATGGACATGGTCAGTCTACATAGTAGTCTGAAAGTGTACGTTTGTAGGTAGTGAAATAAAAAAGGCGTACTTCCTCAGCGTCAAGGGAACGTAAAAGATAACTAAGGAAGGAGAAAGGTACGCAGCGTATAAGTGGATATAACAGAGCCGCAGTCAAACACCGAGTTGATAAACAAGAGGTATAGGTGTACCGGTCAACAGAGGATCTAAATCCATGCCGCTTGCCAGAGATAAAGTCGGGAATACCCAAATTTTGTGTAAATTTTCTGGCAAGATCTTAGTCCAACATCCCAAAATGTAACCCTATTGTGGGCATTCAGATATCCCTCAAATTCTCATCTGTCCTGTGTACTTTTGCCATCAATGAATCAAGCTTCAAGCTTCATAGGTCAAGCTGAACAACAATTGATCTCAAAGCCACACAGGGGGTGTCCCAGTCAACCATCGTCACGTTAATACGAAAAACCACTACTATGGACCGTGGGAGTACCTACCTTTTGCGAGCGCAGCAAAATCATTCACATTCTAGGTCTTAAATCTCAAGGACGCGTCTGGCAAATGTGACAAGAATGTGCCAAAGACATAGTACTTAGAACAGGAAGCATGATGCTCAGAAAACAACAGGATACCGACTGTGGAACCGTGGAAGAGATGACCAGTAAGGCGCAAGGCACCTCAGTGGGTAAACAGAAATATGACGACATACTCATTTTCACCCATTGAAAAGCAGCAAAGTCATTCTTTATATGTGTAAAAGCAATAATCTCGCGTTACAGACGGGCAGGATAAGAAATGAAAGAGATGGGACTAGAGGAAAGAATGGAAAGGATGCCATAAAAAGCTATTGATGCTGGACGTGTTCCTCACATGCCAGCCAATTCTACTCGCTGTGCTCGCAATTACCTACCACGAAAAATCCAGGACTTGGTAAAATGAAAATATAGGATATAAAGGGGCGGTATACAAATTCTGAAGAGGAATGGCTGAAGAGTGACAAAAGCACAACAGGTTGACATTTTTAGTCGCACTTTCAATCCCTCCAGCAGTTGATCAGCAATACCTGTGCTCACTAGAAAAGGTAATGATCCTTGCTGGCTCAAGTGGCTTTAAGCTGAGATGTGGCAGTGTTAGTTCCACCTTAGGTGAAGTGTGGATGCTAATTATAGCAATTTTGAAAAATGATGAGATTCCTGAAAAGAATCAAAAAGTTTTGGCCACACTAAAAGACCTCCGAACCTGCACCCAGAGGCTTATGACGATCAACGTCATAGGTTGTCTCAGATAGTGCACGCTGAGATCGGGCTGGTATTTGATAGTTTTGGTCGTGCCAAAACTTTTTTATTTTATTTTGAGAATCTCATCATTTTTTGAAATAGCAATAATTAACACACCAAATTTTAATTCCTTCAATAGCCACGCCATTATCACATCAGTGCCCTCGCTTCAACTTCTTCCCAACAGGAGCATCCAAATCAGCCTCTGTAAGTTGCCGCCACCATGATGTACTTGCAAGTGTCTTGGAATCCTCTGCTTGGGGATCCCCGGTGGTACCATTTTATTTGATAAGATCCATGTCACCTTTGAACAATCCTGTGACTTCTTTGCACTTCAACAAGTTTTCCCACAGTTTTTTCGCAGGGATCGTCAGAGCAGGAGCCTCAAAGTCTGTCGAAACACGCTTAAAATACCCTTCCTTTATGATAATATCTTGCTCATGGTCATGCACATCCCGTGTAATCTAGGAGAACTCAGTAATGAACTCATGCAGGCAAATATATGGAACTTACTTCCCAGCTATCGTCTTGCAGACAATAGTAAGCTGGTTTGCCCCATTTCCCATCTTCTTCAATTGTCTTTGCCCCGATGGCCAGGAAATTATTGTAGCGCCTGTGGTCCTGATAAATAGCAGGGACCCAATGCCCCTCGTGTCGGCCATACACTCGACCGGGTTTGAGCCTTGCCTCCGCAACCTTGTCTTCTGACATCAAGCCTGGCGCAAACACAAAGATGGTGACAGTGAGGACAGGGTTTTGGCCTTTGCTAATTTTTAATGCAATGCCAAGCCACAGCTTCCCCTCCATCAAGCACAAAGCTTGCACAATATCGAAATCTACATCTGCAGCAGATTCAGAGAACCCTACTTCCACAACTACAGTAGGGTACGAGTAAGCCTTTTGGAGGGCCGGGCTGGTGCCTTCAGCCAGAGGCCCTAAGTCGGTGATTTGGATGTCGCACTGCTTCCAATGCTTGTCGAGAAGAGGGACATCAGCAGTTTCCATAATTGTGATGGAGTGGGTGCCAGATTTATATTTGTCCATCACCTCCTTGATGACCCGACCAGCAAACTGATGGATTTGAGAAGGGATTTGTAGAATTATATTGTTTTCCCACAATTCGAGCCTAAGACGCCATAGTCAATACTCAAAATAAAGCTGATCCTCATAACAGCGCACTGAACAGGCATGGCCTTGACGACTTCTTCGTAATGCTCTTCAACCCACAATTTGTCCTCCTCGTTAACCACTGTCATATAAATTTTATCATGTTCCTGGCTACTCAAGTCCATGAGCCAACTGCGAAGGTGGCTGGGAGCATCGCGAAGTATAGCGGGTATATGATTGTCCTCAGAGGACAAATCTTTATCGGGAGGGGACCTGGCAAGGGGTTGCAGAGTGAGCATGAGTGTCTGAAGATCCTCTCGGATGCTTTTCATCCCAGTAATGGTGGGACTCTTAGCTGCGTTGGTTTCAGCAGGGTCCTCAGCTCGAGAATGGGCAGCGGGAGCAGAATATGCGATGGTTGGGCGATAAGCATAACGGTCGCTTCCAATGACAGAGGTCATCTTGTGGTGGAGATGAGAGGAAGATAAGAGACACTGATATCACGCTGTGGTTGACTAAGTACTACAGCCACATGACCAGGCACCACCTTTCGGTGCTGAGCGGGACTCGAGGTGATTTTCTACCATCCTTTTTGTGTCCATTAGTAAGATGATGGACAAGCAATATATGCATTCTGATCTACAGATCCACAGAAAGCTGGGGTGCAAGTTTTTCAACAGAATTCACTACCATCTGGAAAACCATGCTTCGATCACTCTCATGGTGTGATCAATCAATTCTTGGGCCATTCGCGATTGATTTATCAGGCTTCAAATATTTCGTGAACGGACGTCTGCTAACTTTGATGCACCTAGTGGAATGCAGAGCACATGTGGTGGTTACCAAGAGTACGACATGATTTAGAGACCTTGAAGCATATTGACTGACTAGGGGTAGCAGAGCACCACTGGTAGATCATTACCTTTTCTGGTGAGCACCATGCCTTCCAGCCGTTTGAGCCGGCCGATTCGAATAGGGAATAATGACATCATTGATCTTGCTGAGCCCATGGCAAGATAGCCTCGGCATCGCTCTGACACTTTTTCTTCATGATTTGGCATAAATTTAACACACCGCAAATCATAAATGAGATGTTTATAACAGTATAAAGATGTAACTGAAGGTAAGAGTACTAGATTTAAATAGAAGATCCTAAAAACTGAGGTTTTCTGCTGCCACTGCCATGATCTGCCACCCCCGAATTGTAGGTCTGCATGTTCGGCAAGGTCACTGCAGCACTTGACTGGGCATGGGAACCCACCTTATTGGGAACAAGTGTGCACAGCTGCTACAAGCTTCAGTTCTCAATGTTTAGTCTCACTATTATGTACAGAGTAGCTCGTAAATATTAGTAATATACTAAATTTTTTTGAGTTACGTCCACACTCCTCACTGAGTTGTTAGCGAAGTTCAATGCCCTGGTCCGACAGTTAACTGCCCTTTTGCATTGTCATTCACTGCATGCCCTATCTTGCTCCAGTGTTCTAATCCCACTGATACCACAGTCGTGTATGCTCAATGATGAGTCCCTGTTAGGACTGACTGTTAAGTTCTTTTGAGTCAATGTTGAGCCTCCATGGAATCAATATCTCACCTCTTTGCTGGCTCGTCGTTTTCCCTTGACCACAGATACTGCTTTTCCTTTTTTTTTGGTGGTGTTACAGTGATAAACTGTTCACAAAATTACTCTATCATTGGGAAATTACAAAAAAGAGCCGGGATTTTCACCCCAGATACTGCTTCATCTGAAATCACCCAATTGACACTAGATATTCGAAAGATAATGAATTGTATATAAACGGTTAAGTGCTATCAAGATTCATAAAGTAATTTGGAAAAAAAGGCACTGAGACATCACCAAATATACTCATTCATAATTACAAATGAAGAAAGAATCTATCCCATGGCCCTTTTTCTTGGGGATTCTTATAAAGTTCTTTGCCATCAGATGCAGGGCTATTCTCACCCAGAGCAGCAGCAACTGTTCGGACAAGAGACTTCATCGGAAAGACTTCCACTGGTCGGTTCTTCACCTTTTCATGGCAGTTGGGACAGGTAAAGACTGGCCTGTTAGATTTGAGTGTTATCTGTTTGATCAACTGCAGGAGTTCGTGGGGTTTGATCTGGGGATAGGACATTGCTTCCTGGAGAAAAGGGGGGAGCGGGATAGGTTGATCACGATGGTAATGGGGGTGCTGCTGCCGATAATGTTTGTCAATGGTATTGAACCATGTTAGTAGGCAACTTTTGCAGAAAATATGCCCGCATTCAGGCAACCTGGTAACCTGGTTTGGATGGACATATTTTTCAGCATAACTAGGTGGTGCTTACAGGTAAGGCAACCACATCGGTGAGGCACACGTGCCACATGTAATATCGGGTTCCAGTTTTAAGGGATTCTATCTATGGGTCAGTCAAGGTGTCATTGCAGTCCAGAAAAGAACCTCACAATCATTTCACTAGATTGAAATTGCCCAGTGATGCTCGCCTGAGAAATCTTCAGTGCTTCTTCAGCATGTTCAGCTCATTTCTCAGCTTCTGTCTGTGAACATTTCACTTTTGTCGTCTCCTAGAGAATAAATTAAACAGAGGAGTTCAACACACGTCACCAATTTTACCTTTTTAAGCTTCTTGACAAAGGCCTGCAATTCCAAAATTTTCATATGCAAAGCTTTAGAACTTGTGTCCTCTTCGTCTGATGAAATTTCAATGATGTCTCTGAGTGGTGTACATCGTTTACCCTTCCCACGATTTACTGAAGAAGGTGCAGGATAGTCGTCTTCAATGACAAACAGCTCCGATCCTTCCAGATCACGAGGCAATGGTGGTTTTCGGTGGTGTTTCGTTCCTCTAGCAGGCGGTATGGTGGTTTAGAGCTAAGAAGTTCTCAGTACGCATGATGCGTAGGTGCAGATTTGAAACCCTGACAGTTGCCGACCACGTGGAAACACTTAACACGTGTTGATTGACTTCGTTTATCCTCCCTGTTGCATGCCCATTGCCCAATGTAGCCCTGACAGGCCTGTCTAGCCCAGAGGGTCGAAAACTCATCTGACAGTGTTCTGCCTTGTTTCCTTCATGACTTATGTTCTGGAGCGTGTTTGCATAGCCCTAGATGACATTCATATTATCTCCAGCTATTTCTATGGGTACATGACAGCACTTTGGGGATTGGTGGTCCGCAGCCATTCTTGCCTCTTTGGAATGAGCTTATATCAGCCAGCAAGTCAAAGGCACACGAGCAGTTCGAACTTCAAATTTTACCAAAAGCTCTAGTCTAGGATTTGATCGAGGGGCAGAGTGGGGGGATGCGCAGAACTTAAAAATAGTCATGGCCGGAATCCGGCACTGTGGGCATGTGTGTCTGAACTTGGAATTCACTCTCACCACGATGTCACGTCGTCCCTCCATTGCTCTACACGCTCGGGCTGCTCCCCAGGACACACTTTTATGACTTAGGTTGATATCATAGACTTTCAAACCGTAGATGACGTGTTCATACATAGATTATCGCCCGTAGTCGACCATGTTGAATGTGAGGAGCATCAAGACCTCCTTCGCAACACTGAAAGTCATCCAGATGTATCTCATGACGCTATTCCGGTCACGCACGATTGAGATCGCTATACCAGTCTCTGCTCGGGCCTGTGATGCAACCACTGGGGAATACATCACGAGTGTTTTCCCTTGCCCAGTGGCTACAACAAGAAACAGGTCCATGCCATCATTGAGTTGGATTGCATGCTTGAGCTGGAATTCTCAAAGTGAAGGAACATGACACATCTCCTTAAGAATTTGTTCGAGCCTCAGGGGAATTGACAGAAGGGTTAGGGAGGGTATTAGGGAATGTGGTAGATGTAGAATGAGCCTCGGAGGGCATATATGATAAATTATTGTGAAACGAGGGATAGTTAGGTGCTTTAAGGCATTCAAGAGATAAAGAGAGGAGCCAGTTGCCGTCTATTTTGGGATGCGGTCATGGCGAGCGCCTGCCATGCCGGTTCGGCCATCACATTTTTCAAGTAGCACTCACCCCCCCTTCCACCCCCCGATCTAATTCCAGACTCTACATCCATTGAACGACTTTTCTTCATACGGATCATTGAGTCTGGTTTATGAGACTACAAAAGCTCTTAATATTTCTGCTGCATTGCATGCCATTCACAACACTTGAGTTTTATCATGCACTGCAGCATAAAGTATGAAAATATCAACGAGTGTTTCGATACCAAAATGTGGAGTTCGGTAATTTCTTTTTGATGTATGCTGCAAGTATGTTGATTTTCAGGTGTGCGGGATCAGGTTCCATACAATCCACTAATTCATTAGAATTTCAAGTCGTGTTTGCCATTCAGATCAAATACAGATAAGTATTTTCCCTCATGGCAAACTTGTATTTATTTTTATTTGTTTTATGAACAAAACGTATTGATATATCTATGGAGGGTGCTTACACTCCAGAATATCCCCTCTCCAATGTGATGCCTGATAAATGGTGGAAACACCCAGGAGATATTGAGAATCTGAAGAAATATCTCGAACTCATCATGTGCCTTTGACCGCATCTTGCCAGCTGATATAAGCCCATCCCAGGAATGGTTGCGGGCCACCAATCCCACTTCAGGAACTTCAAAAACTCCCCCATCCCATCTTGTGAAGGCAGAATTGATCTGTGAATATCCACAGACCCCACTAATGGTTATGACCTATCATACGAAGGGTCTCGAGTGTAAGATGGTGGGCTTTTCTCTTGTCTTATTGTCAATGACAGGAGCGAAATTTTGTATGTGGGAATATCATCTCTTGCCATCAAGGTGGATGCATTGTCAGCTGGAAGATGCAGCAGTCAAGATATCCAGAGAACCGTGCAATCGCCGACCTTTCCTTCATACTCATATCCCCTGAAAAACTTGTATCCTTATGTTTCCACACCCTCCTTCACAACACACTGTTCTGGGACAGCCCTGTTGCAATGTGTGTTGATGAACTTCATCTTGCTGGGGTTCTTTGTGGTGGAAAGGTGCACTTCTCCCAGATGGACATTTAGAAGAGTTTCATGAAGACTGTTTTTCCCATTCGAGACTGATCTAGTCTTTCTCAATGAGAGGCAGATGATGCAAATTTCACCTATAAATTCGAAGACACCGACACTATATCACAAGAGCTTCACATCATGTTGAAGCACATTCCATTCTCGCCGTCATTCTCGTTCACAGGTATCCTCTGGAATCTGGACACCCGGGCCATCTCTCTACCATCTGAGAAGCAGGAGAAAAATGTGTCTGTGATCCATAATTGGTTGTCAACAGACGTTCATGTCCTCTCCGATCACCCGTGTTGTTCCCATGGGTCTTGCAGTTGCCAGTGACCATCCTTTCCTGCCATGATGTGCATGAAAATGCACCATCCCTCCTCTCAACTGGTGTTTGTCCCAATTACTTTCCAACCCCTCTCCTACCATACTGGGGCCACGTTCAGTCATCGATATCTCTGCATTCTCATATGCAAGTTCTGGTATCAGAATCATAATTGTTATCGGAAACAGGTGGTCAGCCTCGTGACTTCTACCAGGATGGAATTCCGGAAAATGAGATATGCAATGGGCCGAGGGACTTGGTTTCGAATTTCTTGTACGAACGCTCCCAAAGCAATTTAAGTCCGATGATTTTATCTCTCTACTAGATCCAGTTTTCCCTTGTTGCCCAGAACTCTCAAATTCCCGTGTTAAGCTCCATGAAGACCACAAATCCATTGTCGAAGGCTGGTGGAATGGCCACCACTGCAATACAGACGTTAACAACATTTTCCGATGAATGCGCAGTTCCCCTACCTCCAACGACCTCCATGTCAACACAAGATATATCACCAGCGCTGTCAATCCTGCCGATGGACCCTCAAGAGGCACTTATCCGTCCCCCTCACTGGTCCTACCCCCCATCTCAATACCAGATGTTTTGCTTCCTCTCCTCGTCGGCTTCGACAATATGACTTCGTTCTTCTCTCCTACTTTGTGGGGATCATGTACCCTGGATGCGTCTTTCAGACTCCTACAACATTGTGGATCCATCGCATGCAATTCCCTCTTGAAAGTCTATGTGTTCTTCAGGAAAACCACAGTTTTCGCCCAAAAATCTAGTCAATTCCTTACCTTGTGAAATAGCGGGATTGTTCTTATCTGTAACCCAGTCACTCGATGAGATTTATGACTAAGCAGGCCATCCAGCTTGATGACCCAATTTCAAATTCTATCATCGAGATCAAAACAGGCAATTGGGTCTAGACTTCAGAGTTGCACCTTGGCTTCAGAACTGCCAGAAGCGTGTTTGCTGCTGCATATCTGGTGTGCAATGCATAGAGTCAAGGTGTGTAAGTGCTTGCACCATTTCCTAGGAAATTTCACTACTGTCCCCAAAGGTATATAGTCACATAGTGTTTCTATGATGCACCCCTCTTTATATTCTTCATAATACGCCCTGCATTATGTAGCAATATGTACGAGTATCTCTTCTATATGAATATGACCATGGCTCTATAAGTGCTATGAGTAGGCTTTTGAAAATTTCTTTATGGTAAAAATAACTTAATTATGTAGCAAAGAAACAATCTGTTACATACCTTGTGCAGTGATTTCCTTTCATAGTTTTTTTTTTGTCTTTATGTGATGTTTTGCATCTCCTTGGGTCTTCACTGAAGCATACATCGCCCGAGGCCAAATTGCTCAATTTGGACATGATCTCCTGGAAAAACGTAGTCATGGCGATTGCCAAACGGCTTTAATTGGACCTGATTTCCCACACTATCACTTTTCTCTTCCGCACCAACATGTCGATTGACCATTCTTCTCCAGTTGAAAGCCCTGCAGGTATACACTAACTGTTCTTAACATCGAAGGATTGGCCTGTGCTTAATTTCTTATCTATGAAGCAACAGGATACACTGCTGCGAAATGGTCCTTATTGGTCTGGTCTGTTCTGATCATTTGCCGAGCATTCCTTGAGACACCTTTGGATCCTGAACAATGGTTTTGTCTGTGATCGATGGAAAGTGATATAGAGTTAAAGTTCTTGCAGTTTGGGATGGCCATGGCCCGGTCCCTAAAGTCAATTGCAGATGAAGGCTGGGAGAAGGTCAAAGGGGGTAAACCAAAAAATCACATTGACAATATCGGCAGTGGTCGCAACGCTTCCAAGTTTGTGGGCCACCTTGAGACCCTTATACTTGTGAGAGCAGTAGATATCGCAGCTGGTTTTCTTCGCCTGCCTACAAGGTCTTACTATCCAAGCTTCCAGAAGTCAATAAGTCTTGACGAGCATCAAATAGGGGTATATTATATCTAACAATGCCCTATAATGCTTTCTGACTGACCCTCATCATCAGTTTTTATGGTGACTAGAATCATGGCCTCAGAAACTAGCTGAAATTCAGACTTCCCTTCGCATGTATAAGGAACGCACATCGATGCCACTTCCTCCCTTGGCCCCGGGGGCCTCCTTTATGCAGGAGATCTTGCATGGCAATGTTTGTCTTCTTGTGCATCATTGGAAGCACGAGTCAGCCAAAAATTGGCTGAAGGTACTGTCTGTGTTGGACGGAGTGGCTTTTCACATCTGGTTACTTTGTTATGTGGGTTCTGTTCTTTACATAACAATTTGATTGTATTCTGACAAAATTTTTCTTCAGCACAGTGGAGTTGAGCAAACGACATGTTGGCAAAGGTAGGAAGCTTTCGATAGTCAAGAAAATATCCTGACCAATTTCAAGGTTTATCAATGAGAATTTTAATCACCCTGACATCCAAACGATTATGGGCAATGAAGAGACATTGAAGAAATTTAAGCAGAGCCTTCCTCATTGGAAGCAAAGCTTTGCAAACACTGTGGCAATCTCTCCTCTTCTGCTTATTATGGGACAAGGCATGGGTCAGACGTTAAATACGTCCCTTGCTTTGCAAGTGAGAAATCATTTATTACTTTCAGATATTCATCGCTTATGTTTTCTTAGGTCGGTGGAAGGCTGTCTTCGATTGGAAAACCAGACCTCATTGTACGAGTTGAGGAACTCCTTTGGCATTGCATTATTGGTATCGCTTGGGGTTCTTGGATGAGTGAGGTTGGATTAATGGACTTCCTCGAAGCAATCAGTCCACTAATCAACAATATGAAACCTTTGAGGGAGAAGCAATCAGGTGCCACGCCTTGGGATGAATTTGATGGGGAGGATACATGGTTCGAGCATGCTATTCACTTTATCTGGCAGAATGATGTTGCAGGTTTGGGAGCGAGGGTGGGTGCTGAGATGATCGAATGGCTCAGGAAAAGCAGGAAGGGCTGGATTAAGCGAGGGGGTCGCAAGACAGATCGAATACGAGAAGAGAGAGCAAGATCCTGCTCTCCCCGTAGAGTCGCACGGTTACAGTTAGAGACTCGAGGAAGGGCATCAAGCCTCCCTCGGTTCCCTCCATCTAAGGCTGCACCCTTCATGCCTGAATCAATACCCAGAATTCATCGAATCTTAACCTATCGAGTACACAAATGGGGGCATGAAAACTATCCGAACTTCAGAGAATGACCTGAGTTGTCACCCCCATGGTGCGATGCACCAATAATGCCCCTTCCGACAGTTCAAGATATTGATCCGATATCCGTGCAGGACATCATCATAGGAGAGCTTCCTCCCGTTCGGAAGGAAAGCTCTCAAAGCTTCTTTCCATTATCTCGACAACAAAAAATCCTACATGAACAAAGACTAATGCAAGACATCTACTCAAACTGGCGGAAGTTAATGTTGATGGTGCCATCCATAGGAATGACTACGGTTATTCCATCAGTCGCAGGGCGGAAAAGGGGCACAATCTGAAGCTTTTGGCAATACTGGGGACACTCTTTTGTTGAAAAAAACCAAGCTCAATCGAGGTCTCTCTCGTTCTGGGGCAAATATTGTTTCTCCGATCCTTTGGGATCCGAAGAGAAAGGAGTACACTTCTTGCGATTTTTTTCCCTTGTTGTCCAATGTTAGTACTCTCTCTCTCTCTCGGAAATCTTAGATATTCACTTTTTATTAGGAGCTTGACGATCGAATCACCATTCACGGTTGGAATGATTGCATTGTTAATGACAAGACAGGTAGTCCCTGGTACAAGCCTGACACAGGAAAGGGCTTGGAAGAATCAATGATCGTGACTCTGAGCTTTTCCAATGCAATGAAGAATCCTATGGCGACCCTGGAGACCTTCCATAACTACTACATATTCCTTTATGGCACAAAGACTTCACCTCTCACCTGGTCATTGAACGACCTATCTAAGGTTGGCAATGTCGATATTGTCTGAGAGGTCCAAGGTTATGCTCACTCCTTCTGTGAAATATTGATCCTTATGCTCCACTAGATCATCAAAGGTGAAGCTCCGACCAGACAAAGAACTATCTTCACATCAATCTTTCCTTACGCGAAATATGTGAGGAAGGCCTGGAAGATGAAGGATGTGTTTTAAACGCACTCTCTCTGCCCTGCAGCACTTCTGAAACTGGACACCCTCTACAATCGTATGTTGAAAACCTTAGCTCATTTCATTTTGGAGGCTCATGAATGTTAGGATTGTATCAAGCCACATCAGAGCCTTTGAGCAGACATCTGACCTTCCAGAAGATATCTTTGATGCCAGTTATCCAATCTCAGCAACAAATTTCTGGTTAGTTGCGACGAAAGGAGTGATCAGTTATATTCATTCTGATTGTCATGGTGTTGGTACCTTCGTGGAAGTTCTTTGTAGGCGGAAGTTGTGGTACATGTTTCAGCATCATGGGAGTCGAAGACAAGACAGTCATATAGACGAGTATATGGGTGATTGGGCACCTGGATTTATTCCGGATCCTAGGGAATGGGAGGCTGAAGTTGTTTTGCTGGAACCCGGCTCTGCCTTGTAAGTTCATGCTGCAATATGTTGAAACATTCTAACACGAAGAAAGTTATATGCATCCGGATACTCATCATGCTGTTCTGACGCTCGAGAACTGCATTGTGAGGGGTGGTCATTTCTATTCCACTGTTACCCTTTCGAAAACCGTCTCGAGCTGGGTTCATACATGTATGCTTGGGTACAGGATCATCAATGTTGTACACCCAGAGCTTCATCAGCTCCTCCTTCGTATGATGTATTACTTTCACACCGTTATTGGTGAGAAAGGTCCTGAAAGTGAGCGGTTCTAACTAGTGGCATTCTTTGCTTTTACCAATACTACTAGCTCAAGACACAGATATTCCCAGTATAACAAGAGACAGACTGCTCAAACTCATTGCGTTGGGAAATCTGTGTATATTCGGATCAGCCTTACTTCCTTGCATCCTGCCAGACTCCGCCGACGCCACGAGGCCCACAATCACCATGGCCTGTAGGTGCCTACATATCCATAATCCGGCATCTGTGGGTGGATTTTGGTTTAGTTTTCCTTGCAGAAAATAATGCCATTGAGCCCTCCATCGATTCCACCATCCTCGTTGATGACAAATTATTATGGTTTTACCCCTATTTCCCTTATCTTATCTTATCCTCATCCCTCAGAACCCTGGACCTACCTATCTTATCTCTCGGACCCACAATATCCCGTCGGCATATTCCTTACCCGTTTACCTGGTTGCCGTCACCTCCAGTTCACAGCTGCCATACCCCAGATGACCAACGACCTGCATGCGCCATCATGCTTCTCTTGATGGCATCATGCTTCTTAGTAGTTGGACAAGAGTCGACCGCCAGTCGAGGGCGGTCTATGGGATGCAGCCTATTCAGACAGAGTCCTGCACAGATGCAGGTGATATGCACTCTTTACTCTCATTCGTCGGGAGTACACTTCTTTTAGTGTCCTCCCTCCTCATTTGTTGAAAGACACACTTCTCATTGCATGCGCCCTTGTAGATACTATTCTTAGTGCGAGTCTAACATGTATTTAAGCTAGCCTACGCTGTGGCCTTAGACCTCAGCTTCAGGCTAAGGTTATATACTCCTAACTCTTACAAGCTCCTTGCTTTCGCTATAAAGTGACGCCTAACTTCTCACAATCTACCAACGCCTCTCTAACACTGAATCACCAAACGCGAGTGACAGGATAGAGATCAGCCTTGGCGAAGGTTCGAGTTAGTGCTTAACAATTAGCCAAAGCTTGCCCTTACTACCCTTACTGTTGTCAATGGTAACTGTACCGCTTCAAGGCAGTCACTGTTATACTTCCAAAGAAAAGAGACCTTCAGCCCTGTTATTTCAAACGGCACCCATCATACCCCTGAGATCATAAACATTCGTTGTGGTACAACGAACTTTATGCTGCTCACCCCCTCAGACTGCACCGCCATTATCTTCGGAAGTACCTTCAGTATCTTGACACTATTAACTGCAGTTGCAGTTATCCACATCACCCGACCAACCCAACACCAAAGAGCACTGACCCCCGAAGAGGGAGAGTACATGGACTCAATGGCTCATCAACAGGAACCTCATGAACAACAAGCACCGTCTGGCTCAGATCCCTCACACCACGGCCAAGGGAGGAGCAAGACACATTTCGACACCCCTTACCTGACAGAGAAGACTGAGCCCCACTGCTCGAGCTTCAGGGCGAGGATCACTGAGATGGTGAAGGTGAAGAATCCCTTTGGGAAGAAGAGCTTGGATGACTCGGCATCCCTCCAGACAATGGAGACGACCAAGTCGACCCCAGATTTACCCTCAAGTATTGGACCAGTGCAGATGGATCCTGGGATGACACGACTTGGGGCGATGACAATGACTCCAAGGAGCCATCCATCACCTCCACAGAGTTATCTGCAGCCATCCCAGGGTTCGATGACGATGGAGAGCGCCTCTATTGGAGAGGAACGAGTGGGTTCTACATCGACGTATTCAATCGAATCATCCATGGATGAACCAGGCGAAGAACCACCTTCAAAGAAGGTGAAAACCCATTCCTCCCTGCCTGGGGACGAGGGGAGATATGGGGAGTACCCAATGCAGGGGGACATCAAAGAGATGAATCTTCCGAGCCAGAGTGGTATGATGCTCCAACCTCTCTCGGGTCATACACCCCCGACGGAACCTACAGGGTTGAAGGACCCCCTTCCTGGTGGGACGACGAGTCCATCCACGAGTCAGACTTTGTTTGGCCTTCCCCCCGACCCGAATCTGAAGTTATCCCCCCGACTCTCTTCACCATCGCCGACCTTAGAGAGTTCGCAGAGCCTTGCTTTGCCCACATCTCAGAGACTTCCACCAACGACGCCGTCAAGACGGACCTGACAGTGTCGTATTCACCGAGTACTCTGACAGTAATAATGAGGAGCTCCCAGAGTACTACACCCACCATGGATCCCTGATTAGCGGGGGCCAGTGGGTTATCTCCCCAGGAGACACTCCTGAAGGAGACAGGCTCCTCGATTGGTTTGCCGGAGACCAACCCTTTCCGGATCCTATTGTCCTCCCGAACCGAGTCCTGAGAGAGCTTGACCAGACCTCTCCCCATCCATACCCCTATTGTAACTGCTCCATCTGTCGTCGCCTCAGAGCCCTGGCCACAGTCAAGCACGAGGGAGCAAAACCCCCTGACGAGCTTGAACCCTTCCTTGTACCAGAAGGAGGGTTCCTACCCTGACAGGATACGATGGAGGTTTCCTCCCTCCCTGAGGGCTATGGCCCTGGATCTGGAGATGTGAAGATGCCCTGGAAATCTGGGATGAGTACTGCCGATACTTCTGGGGCATATGGCAGTGGAACAATGACTGGGATGCAGGATATACGATATTCTCCAGGTACCAGGTCATCGGCTTCCTGCCTGATCACGACAACAGGTCAGATCCCTGGACCAGAGCAGGGATGGTCATCGAACAATGGCTCCAGGAGGATGAGCTCCCTCCCAGTAGAAGCCCCTCCGGTGACCCACCCGAGTTTGTCCAGGGCTCGAGCACAGGAACTTACGGCCCAACAAATATATGATCTAACATGGCAGCAAATGTTAGAATGGACAAGCAGACGACTACGATACAATGTAAATTGGACCACATCCGACCAAGGACAAGCGTATCGTGCTGCAGAACTAGGTTCCATGCTGGAAGACAGGATACTCCATACCGAAACATGATATCATGCCGCCATCGACTGGAACAAAATACACCCTGACCAGCCCGTAGCGCCAGGGAGACGCTACAGTGAAGAGTCATTCCTGGAACTGGGAATAGTGGGCCCAGAAAACCCAATCCCTGACACGGCCTGGGCGCCATCCGATGTGTTGGGGATAACCGCTGCAGGAGCAGGAGGAAAATTCCATGCCCGAAGCATGGGCGGAGACCCCTCCCAATCAATGCCAATGGGAGAAACGGGTGAACCAACACCTGCCGCTCCCGGAGGAGGTGGCGGTGGTCCAGGAGGACCAGGAGGAGGTGGAGGAGGACCTCCACCCATACCACCTCGACCTCCAGCACAACCACTGTCACCCCGTAGTGATCAGAACCTTCGATCACTACCATGACCTGCCCATCCTCCCCTACCACCCGATCCGCCAGACGGATGGGTTATCCCTGATGGACAAGCTAACCCCTGGGGAAACGTGAAACCAACGCTGATAGAGACCCCAGACAAATTCCATGGAAAGGCCAGCGACCTCGATCGCTTCTTCAGTCACTGTGAATACTACTTCGAAGTCTTTGCCCAATACTTTGCACTTAACGAAGCATATGGGTATGGCCCGAGTCAAGTAGTCTTCATGGCCCACCGACTTGGTGGAGAAGCAATGACCTGGTGGGTCCATCAGCAACGACACTACAAGGACCCACACAGTGGAAGACATCGCCTTCCCTCTTGGGAGACCTTCCAAGAAAATGTCCGAACATGTTTCTGAGAGGTAGCAGAGGTCCAAATCAAGCGGATGCAATGGAAAAAGCTGCAACAAGCGCAGTTTAAAATGGCCATCAAATTCTTTGAGAGATTCGAACAGTTGGCCGTGGAAGTGGAACACTTTGACAATGACATGGAAATGGAGGAAGTCGTCGCCCTCGCAATCCGACCCAGGGTCAAGGAGATCATTATGGGCGGAGATAATATGCGGCCTACCACCTACTGGGAGTGGAGGTGCAGGGTCCTACAAATGGATGAGAACTATTGAGTTCATCTCGCCCAAGGCGGGAAGTATCCCAGCGGGACCGCTAGTTCCAAGCCTGGAACAGCGGGGGGCTCTTCGAGTGGCTCGAAGGGCAGAAGGGATGCCACTGGATTCACCTACGGCAGTGAAGGCGAACCTATGGACATTGATCGTCTCAAAAGAAAAAAGCGATGTTTCCGGTGTGGACACACCGGACACCAGGGGTGGGACAATAAATGCCCGCCCGACAAGTCGAAGTGGCTAAAATTCCCAAAGAAGAAGCCATCGACTTTCGCAACCCGTCTCTGAGCTGTCCTAGCACAAATAGAGGAGGAAGACCTCACTAGCTCGACAGAGATCGAGGAGATAAAAGAGATGCCGGCATAGGACTCTGTGATTCTACTTCGTCGGCTGGGGTTTATCATGGTGTGCCTTATGACACGAATATTCACGCTTATGTTGTATCTGTAGATACTTGTAACAATATATCGCATTCATCTCGCATTATGAAGGAATCGCAAACCAAGAACGGTGTATCAGGGGATTGCCACCGCCCGTTGGGCAATGAACCCTGAGGGTCGGGCACGAAAGAGTCGGACCCAACTAGCAGCTCGAGGCCGTACCAGTGCGGGACAGATCTCGATCAGACGATCGAGGATCCAGAAGCAACTCTCGATTGTTCGATCAAGAACCCGGAACGAGTTCTCGATCAACGGATCAAGAGTCCAGGCATGACCAGGAACGAAGCCCAGGATCAACGGGGCTCCTCGCGCCTGTCCCCTCCGCCCAACGCTTGCATAAAAGCAGGAGGGAGACTCTCGAATTTGCCCGTTAACAGCATACATGGGATTTCTGCTGCTTTAACTAGCAATGAACCCCACCAGCCAAGTCCTAGTGCTGGCGGTACCTGCTGTGTCCAAGCCACTGCAAATACCCCTTTGGGGCGCATGTACAATGCAGAGAAGCTTACCGGTTTGACAGGCAACCAAGGGTGGAACCTTGGGGGTGCGACATCATTGTTCCCTGCGGGTGATGTCTGCCATACGGGAGGTCAAAACGAGGACTACATAGTCCAACTCCTGGGAAAGCCACACATAGCAGCAATGGATCCAGACGATGGTGAACTGGCATCCCCTCCGTGCATCAAGGTTCCCCAACGAACAGACCACTTCAGTGATGGTGAGGTCGGGGAATCCAGGCGAGCCTAGAGGATGAAGCCGAGGGCCGGTGGAGCCCAGCAGACCCGATGACGACTGTTGTAAAACCTCTGGAGATAACCCAGCACCACATGTGGAACCAAGTAGAAAGGATACCCGAGGAACGGCCACCTCTACCCTAGAGGACACCGGCCGAAAAAGCTCAATCACCCACAAGGATCAAGCAGGGCCGCACAGGGGAGAGAGACTCCCCCTTTCAGAGTTTATGGAACTCTCCAAAACCCAATGAAGTCCCAACTAACTTGAGTGGGTGTCCTGCACTGAGGTGAAAAGGAACTGACCTGGTCGCACGGTCATAGGAGCAGGGCCTTTGTGGCCTATGGACTGCGACAACGAGAGGAAGGCCCCGATACAGTCAGCATCGGTGGAGTACTCTCAGGGCTCTCAATGGCTGAAGCCCTTGGGAGCCACCTGGACTTCGGCGAGCTATGCGACTCGCCAAGACCCCAGGAGAGAAGATATCACTTCTCAAACAGTGGGTCCACCCCCAACGACAAATGGAGGTGGATGAGCTGCTGGTGACCGACTTGGAACACCAAGTCAGGGAGTCCTACCAGGACGAATATCGAAAGCTGGAACATATGGACCAGCTTACCAAACCACCCCAATACGTCCGAGGAGCGAAGGGGCAAAATATCACTGATCACCCTACAACTGGAGACTTTCGAATACTATGGCCCATCACTCCGCGAAGGCCCTGATCGACAGTGGCTGTACCGGAAGTGCTATTGACAGGCAGTGGACCCAGTGATCATGGTATTACCATGCATAAAGCGGCTCACCCCACTCCAGGTCTATAATGCGGAATGGTACTCGCAACAAAGGCAGCAATATCACCTGAATTCGCTGAGGTCCGACTCAAGATCGGAGACCACAGCGAACATATCGAATTAGCAGTCGTCGACCTAGGAATGACACCCATCTTCCTAGGACATGACTGGCTACAAAGGCACAACCCACTTATCGACTGGAATACGGGTTCGGTAACCTTAGCGCGCTGTGACTGCTGCAAGATACCATTCCACCTTCCCGATGAAGATCCAGAGCAGCAGTGGGGAACTGAAGTCGAGGATGGAGACACCATCCTCATTATAGACTTCAAAGAAGCCTTTCACATGCGAGTGGTGGGGCATAAAGCCAATGATCTGGCCGCCAAGGCCAACAAGGGAAAGAAAATAAAGTCGTTCAAGGAGATCATCCCCGAACATTATTGGGACTTCATTGATGTTTTTGCCAAAGAAAACTTTGATGAACTTCCCCCTCGCAAGCCTTGGGACCATGCCATTGAGCTTATTCCCAATGCCAACGCCAGTTTGGATTGCAAGATATATCTCCTGAACCCAAAGGAGCAGGAGGAATTGGACAAATTCCTTGACAAAAACCTGGCTACTGGCCGAATTCGACCCTCTAAATCCCCGATGGCGTCTCCCTTTTTCTTTGTCAAGAAGAAGGATGGGAAACTGCGGCCAGTACAAGACTACCGCAAGCTTAATGAAATAACCATCAAAAACTGTTATCCTTTACCGCTTATCTCTGACCTTATGGATAAGCTGAAGGATGTGAGGTATTTCACTAAACTAGACGTCCGTTGGGGATACAATAACATTCGAATCAAGAAAGGGGACAAATTCAAAGCCGTGTTCCACACTAACCGGGGGCTCTATGAGCCCATGGTTATGTTCTTTGGATTAACCAATTCACCGGCCACGTTCCAGTGGATGATGAATGATATCTTTAAAGATCTCATTGCTCAAGGAAAGGTCACCATTTATTTGGATGACATCCTCATCTTCACAAAGGACAAGGCGGAACACCAAAGAATTGTACGGGAAGTCCTAAAGATTCTGCACAAGAACAAGTTGTTCTTGAAAGTGGAAAAGTGCGAGTTTGAGGTACTCGAAACAGAGTACCTCGGGGTCATTATCAGCGAAGGATCCATTAAAATGGATCCAGTAAAAATTGCTGGTATCATGGACTGGCCAGCACCTCCAAGAAACAGGAGCTACAGTCGTTCCTGGGATTCACCAATTTCTACCGACGATTTATCTGGCACTATAGTGCAATCGTCAAACCCATGACAAAACTCACGGGAAAAAAACCCCCTGGGCATGGGGAAAGGAGCAACAAGAGGC